TGCTCGAATAGAAGTAAAAGCCGGGCATGGAGCAGGACGTCCAACACAGAAGATGGTACCTATCAATAATTAAACTTACGAATTTTTTGTTTGAAGTTATTGTTCAATATGAATAAATGCTTTGCGAAGTGTTTAATAACAATAACAGAGTAATGTTTGTGAATTGCAACAGATTGACGAAGCTGCTGATCGATATTCGTTCATGGCGAAGATGGTGGATGCTTCATGGATTGACTAATATTTACACAACGAGATTAACTTATCTTTCTTATGTTTTTGAGAGTGCTACAACTGTACAAGTATTCTTCTATTCGGCTAATACAATCACCATTACCCTTACATATATTAAGCAATTATTTCCGAGTAAAGAGTTTTTTGTATTTTAACTAATCACCATTTTCACGTTTTTGTTTTGTGTAATAAAAAAAATACAAAACAATTATGATAATTCTAGTTTTCCACAGGAAAACAACATAAAATCAGGAAGAGCTTGGGGATTTAACTTGGCATTTCATGAATCGCCCATTTTCACATCAGTCACATCTAGCTGTATAATCTCAGCCCTGCAACCTAAAATTGATCCCATGCTGCAACCAAAATAAAATAAACTCTCTTTAATTAAAATGTTTAAATGTTTATCTTTGATGCTATTCACACAAAACTACCTTTTTTACACGCAACTACTCTCTTTAAAAAATGCCTAGAATCAAATCTAAAAGATAGAAGGGAGCTCTTTTTATTATCATTATACCTGGGAGTGGTACGACCAAGATCCCCGTGTACAAATTCTTTGATGTATGTCCCAGCCTGCATTTTTGAAAAGTTAATTTGGCTCATCTTATAAAGTTATGATAGTTAAAAGGAGGTGGGTTAGAAGATATTGCAACCTGAGTGCATAGATGCAATAGAAAGTACTGAGAGTGTCCTTTTATCTTGTCGACTTTCATCCTAAGTAGTGGAACCACAAAGACTGACTATTACTAAATAGAACAAGTTTCAATATAAGTAAAATTTGAAATTTACGATAGATTATCACTTACCAATGTATAATCTTTTCACGGTCCAATGGACTTCGTCGGTGAAGCACTCTTACTGGTGTCTTCTGCAAGATTTTCTGCAGTGAAATAATAATATAGAAGAAATAAGTCACTTTGTATTTGAAACAAAGAACGGGGTTGAGGATAGACAATTGACCGTTCCTATCCTTAACAATGATTAAAGAAATGACTCACCAGTTCTTTCAAGGAAGAAATTGAATTGAAGTCTTTCTCTTCAAGTGGCCGAGAAATCCATACAAGTGCAACATACTGCTTCTGCATACATAAAAAACAGTGAAGTGGTTGGTCGATAAGTTTTCATTACATTTTCTAATTGAAGTATTAGTTAAGTTAAGGTAACAATATTCCAAAAGGATTTAACAATGCTGACCTGCTTCTCTGCTTCTCCTTCACGCATCATCGCCCAACACTGACTTCCGATACATTTAAGGTCTTTTACTCCGACCTGTAGCCAAAATACTGCTTGTAAGCTTACAAGGCAGACATAATCAATTGATGCAGCAACTGTGTACAATCAGTTAGGCCTTACTAGTTTTTTTTCTGAGTTATTTATCTTTTCTTCAATCTCCTTCAATGACTGTTCAGATGGGCACTGGCGGGAATTCTGAACTTCGATTAAGAAAGGTCTACCTGAACCCAACATCCGTACCTGAAGAGAACTCTTATATTATCAGCATAAACTTGTTGAATATGAATATGATGGCAGAAAAGGGTAATTCTCTCACATCAATATCTTCTCTGCCAGCAGCATGGAACTTGTAGGAATCCCCAAGGCATGCTGGAAGAATGTTTCCACCAAGTATCTCCTGAAAATATATAAACATCGATTGAGGTCACTGTTTTTATGAATAATATAAAAAAATCCAGATGACCTCTAAGAGACTACTACCTCAACAGATGCTTCGCCCATTCTTTCATCATCAATAATCCATCGTGATTGACTAACATTTCTGGAGTACTGCAAGGATAAGATCAAACCATCAATCATAGATCTTCAATAAGAGGTTATGCTCGGTCATCACGGAATATATTTGGTACCAAACTACAATTTTACACACAAATCAAAGTTACAAACACTGCCTCAAAAACATGAAAAAAGTGACTTACTTTAAAGTATCTACCACTAAAAAAGATAGGCATCTTGTTGCAATGAACTGAAAAGATGCATGGTTCATACACCTGGTAATATAAGAAAGAAGAAAACATGAGTTTTTGTTAGCCAACTAATGACAACCGGACATAAGAATGTTTTACTCAATATAAATCTATGGGTTAAAACATGCAACCTTTTCAAATGAATTCTCTGAAATAGAATTTGATCCATTCTCTGCGTCTGCATATAAATATAATACAGTTAATGAATGGCATTTGGAGACTCTGAAGTTTGATCCAGAGGGATCTAATGTACTATCTCCACAAAAACTGTAAGAAATTGATGTAGATGGGCACAAGATCCGGAAAGCGTATAAACCATCACATGGACTCAAGGAGGCATATGCACTTTAAAATAAGTATTACATCTATGCAATACACTGAAGTAGTGCAGATAAAGTGGTCGATAATTGTATATTACCTCCTTGGACTTTGAAAGAAAACTCAAAGAGCCTTCAGAAGCAACCATAAAAGAATTTCGTACTTGAATGTCAAATTTTATTTCAGTAACAAACTCCTTATATATCACAAGTATGGGTGACATGTCAAGCAATTATGTATCCACTATCCACCATGTCATTAACTATTAATGAATTCGGAGTCCAAGAAAAAGATTTAACGGAGTACTAAGTAATTGTAGAGTCTCAACATACCTGTTTTCCTCCTCTTACTTTCATGTGTTGTTTTAGAAACACCCGGAGCCTCGTCTGATGCTTCAGAGTATGTCAAACGGATGTGAAAAGAGCTTGAATCTGATTGAGCGCCCTGCAAAACTCAAAACAGAGAAAACATGCAAAGACTTCAGTTTTGTTTTCTGGCCGGAGATTGTGAAGTTATAACACTTTTGTTGTATAAGATACTAAGCAATAGAAACATAGGTGAAACCTAAGCAACTCAAAACAATTTCCAAAACAAAAACCAATTCAAACAGATCAGCGACTCACCAATGATGCTTTAAGTGGATCCAAGACTAGAAATTTCAAGGCGTCCTTTACAGAAATTTTGTCGCGCTGCAGCCAACCTTCGTCGCTATACTTTCCTTTAAGGTATGACCTATAAAGGTAGAAACATCAACACTAGAAGGAGAACCAAAACAAGCAGAAGAGGAAGAAACTCTAAAGGTAGTACAATGCAAATATGCTCATAAACCAAGACCTTATAACATGAATGCAAATAAGACTTACAAGACTGCACGTTCATTGTCCGTGATAGTCGATGGCACAGAGACTTCAAGACCAAAGCTATCGAACTCATGACGATCCTGCTTCACCAAGTCCGTTATCCTTGCAACGTAATCACTACTAGTATCCGCTTTCACCAGCTTTTGTTCAGCATCGGAAAAAACGAATTGCAATATACCTAAACAAACAATGCAGATTCTAGAACAACTAGATTCCGATGAACCTGTTTCATCATCAACGGCGTTTAGCCAGCTGCGTAGAGCTGAAGTCGAGACTGAAGAGACATCAGAATCAAAAGCCTCGACGGCTACCAATCGGAATATACATCTCTCGCAGACCTAAACCAGAGAACATACAGATGGACTTAATAAAAATCGAATTCGTAAAGTGATTGGAAGCGGGGTCGAAGAATATGTCAGAGATACATAAACCTAACAACGTGAGAGTAAGGAATAAGAAAACGCACCCCGAGTGATAGAAGATCTTTGACAGCACCAGAATGCAGAGATCGAGCTGTTTCGTACACGCGCCGAGTCTTAGAGTCACCATGGCTTACGAGGCCGTTGGGCAAGCTCACTGAGTCGCCGCCGGCAGGTACTGTTTCGTCGGACATTGGTTTTGAAAAATTGTAGAAGGCGGCGTCTAGCAAATTAGCAGCCAAATTCCAGTGAACTTAATTCAGTTTCTCTTTCTCGGGGCAAAAGAAACAGGCTACTAGAGTTCTATATTAACCATTAATATGTAATACAACAAACAAGCAAAGAGGGCGTTTGGTCTAGTGGTATGATTCTCGCTTTGGGTGCGAGAGGTCCCGAGTTCGATTCTCGGAACGCCCCTCTTCCTTTTTATTATAAATATTTTCTTTTGCTGTAACATTACATTGTTAGTCAGTAACATTTATTTTTTTCAGAGTAAAATATCTTTGTATTACAGATAACAATGGGGGAAACTGATACAATACTTTCTTTTATCTCTTTCTATCTAACTCTCATGTCACTCAAACCAGTCTTTTTGTTGGTGTCCACTATAGCCCTGCCACAATGAAGAGCGTTCGTAGGGATTTGGTATTCATCTCTGAGAGAAGTCGAGTTTGTATAGACTCGCATGTAAAACTGTTGTCCCAGGTATTGTCTTTCCCACAACTCTGATCTTAGGTTCCACATTCCTACGTTGTCTAGTGCCACGTGTATGCACTATGATCAACGTTTCGATGTTTTTTTAATATGCGTGGAATACTTGAAAAAATTATCTTTAAAGAAGGGATGGAGTATTTGATTAATAGGAGCTGAAAATTGAAAGAATACCTAATCTTAGGGTTAGCATAACAAATTCTGCGAAATATTCTCCCTGACCATCTACTTCAGCAATCCGTTTTACTATCTAGCGAAGTAAATTATCATCAGCAGCAGATCATACTCACCAATACCAATGTTCAATAAGTACTAAATAGATTTGTTTGATTCAAGAGATCAATGTTGACAACTTCCAACCTAGTTTCCAAGCTCAAGCATTGAAAATCTACTTATTATTGTTGAGTTATAACCCAAATCTCTTCAATCAGAACTCTTCTAAAAAAACGCAGTGAAAGTGTTCGATGAAATGCCTCAAAAAAAAAACATGATCACAACAAAGTAAATCATTTCACGTAACCTGTTTTTAAAAGATAAAATCAAAACCATACACCACTGTTCTCCTACTCATTAATTTGCTAAAGCCTTCCAATCTAGAGAAAAAGGAAGAACAGAGCCATTACAGTCGAAGTCATCTGATACTTAGGACTACAATAATCATGAGTAAGAAAACCATAACCTCATTGACCGTATATCAATCAAAATTCTCCGATCACTTCTTATCGTCACCGAACAGTAGACGGAGCCGAGAAGCAAAGACGCCGGTAGAGTCAATCGAAGCTTGATGAAGAAGATCGCTCTTGATTTTACTCATACGATCCGTCAAACTATCATGCTCCTTCTTGAGAACAGCCGTGTCTTCCTCCTGATCGTGGATTCTGTACTTCTGACTTACCGATCGGAAGCTCAGAAGCAAAATTCCAGTCATGGCGAAGAACTGGAAGAAGCTTTGCCTGTTTCTCTTCACATTCTCAATGAATCCAGAAGCTACGGCAGTTAACGCCTTCGCCGGATCTTTGCCGGTGAGTGGATCAACGGATCCCTGTGGCGCCGATGAAGCCATTTTTGGTTACTTTCTGATATAAACAAAAGAGGAATGTGAGAAATCTGTCACGAAGAAAGAGAGTGATAAAAGGGTTCTCGTATGGTTTGGGCTTTTTATGGCATCAATTTAGGCCCAACTAAAAAAAGCCTACCCTTTTAAGTGATTTTGTAGCATCAATTTAGCTTGTCTGTTGTGTTTCAGTTCATCCCAAGATGGCCCAGCATACTGCAAAATCAAAGAATGAGACTAAATGATACAATGAGCTGAAAGAAAGTTTCTATCATTTGGAAAACTTTAAGGTAGTAATTTACTTCGTTAACTTTGGCCGCATAAACCACAACTCTAGCTCTGCAAGCCCAGACTTGACAAATTCTCCATTGCTGAATGTACAACACTCTTTAGTCTTTACGCAGTAGAACTGTAGAAGACTATTTGAAGATGTTAAGGGAGAAAAAGAGTAAGAAAACTGGTTGACCACGGTCTAGCCTTCAGAAGGAAATTGGGCAATAAAAACAGTAACCTTTTTTAGTTTACTGATGACAATCCAAGTGATACGTTTATGTCTTGTATAGTGACAAGTATCGGTAATAAAGTGCGTAGGAGCCATTAGATGTTTACTTTTAAAGTATTGTTACCTGTTAAACAATTGCACATTGATGAACGAGAAAGTTTGAGTGTGTATCTTTTGGATGAGTACCAAGGGAACCTGTGTAAACCATCGAACACATGAGAATTTTAGGAGTTGAAAACAGATCAATGTCATGGTAGTTTTACTGTTTCCTTACATAGATTTCTTTCAATTATGGCAAGAAGTGAATTGATCAGACCATCAATAATGCTCTACCAGATCTTTGCCTTTGCATATACCTCCTTTTGAAATTCTCTGTGCCTGAAGTTCAGCATTGGACAGAACAAAAACTTGTAAAAAGAGTAAAACACATTTACATCAGCATGCAAAGGCAGAAAGCTAGTGGTCACAGCTTTCGCAAACAATGTAAAGACAGGAAAAATAGAGACATCAACGAAACCTGAATGCACAACTTCCGTAATAAGTGGTTATAAGACGTAAATATTCTATCTTTCTGAATGATGTAAGAATTTAGTTACAAGTATTTGTCCACACATTCTTTTTTTTTTCTTGATGATACATGTCATCATTAATTTGAAACTTTTGTCAATTCGAGGTGATCATGTGAATAACGTAATCACCAAACGTAGGTAGAATATGCGAGAAGTCTTATGGAATTACCAACTGAAAGTTATACACACACAAATCACATAAAACTCTAAAACAATAACCATATGCAAACCTTGTATATATATAAAAGATAAAAATGAAAATACAAAACACAGGATCAAATGAAAGCCACAAGAACAACTTAAAAAGAAAAAAGAGAAAGATAATGATCACAAAAACACAACAAATGTCCCACTCCCAATATCATTATTTCATCCTTTCATCATTTTGCTTAAGCAGACTCTTTTTCTTTCTTCTCTTCCTCTGTCTTGGCGTGATAACCTGGAAGCTTCTCTTTAATCTTTTCGATGATTCCCTTCTTCTCCGCCGGTTGCTCCGTCGAGTGTCCTACGGGGTGCTCAGTTACAACAAGTGGCGTGCTGGTTGGGACAGGTGAATCCTCTGTCTCCTTGTCGTTGTGGCCTGGAAGCTTCTCCTTGATCTTATCCATTACTCCTTTCTTTTCTTCGCCCTCGGTTTCGTGATGCTCCACCACACTCTCCGATACTGGTACCTGGATGGTGCTGACGACTGGTACGTCATGATCCTCTGTTTCCTTGTCGTCGTGGTGGCCTGGAAGCTTCTCTTTGATCTTATCCATTACCCCTTTCTTCTCTTCTTCTCCTTCAACGGTCTTCTTCTTTTTCTTTTCCTCACCTTCTTCATCGCTTGACTGTTAGATATTCAAACCATGAGTATGATTATTACTTCAGCTCAATCAAGATCGATTAATAAATCTCTTATCATATAATCTCTTATCATAAATCTTTACTTACAGAGGAAGAAGAGCTGTTGGATCGGTGAAGCTTTTCGATGACACTAGGCTTGTTCTCCTCATCTTCTTCGGTCTTCTCCTGAAGCTCCTCGAGGAGAGTAATCTTGTTCTCCTTCACTTCCTCGTGCTCCGCAGCTAACGCCGGTTCTGAGATCTGAGCCTTATGGTCGAACTCAGACTCGAGCGTCGTAGTCTCTTGAGGTTTCACTTCCTCTTTCTTCTTGCTCAAGAAATCGAACATCCCACGATCCGTAACCTCTGGTGTAGTAGTAGTGGTTGATGGCTCTTCTGTTGTTGCAACCTTTGGGGTCTCGTGCTCGGGAACGTTGTTCTTGTATTCTTCCGCCATAGTTATAATCTGAATGGATTGAAACGGTTTGATAAACAGAAAATTTAAAGAACTTTGAAGTTGCTAAAAAAGATTGGTTTTGAAGAGGTATGTGTGAGATGATGAGTATCGATGTTTGAGATGAGAGAAGAGAAGAGAGTTGGGTTTTATATAGTGTGTGTGAACTGTGAAGAGAAGGGTCCAGGCCAACGCGGAGGTCACGCTGTAAAGATTTAATTATTTTTCTAATAAAGCAAAGTATCGATGGATATTTATTTTATTTTAAATTGCAGGATGACCCCAATTGTTTAAGTCGGTAGCTGAATATCATGATATCACCACTTTTTTTTTTTTCTCTTAAGATAAAGGATTACAATGTTATTAAAATATTAGATGAAGAGTTAAACTAATATTAGATATTAGCATAGTCATGTACTTTTCATCTACAGGGAGCTGTATCGGACGAACTATGGTTTCGTGGCCCAAGTGCCACCTTGTAATTTTATTATATGATTTAAAAATAGATAACAGATGTACATATAAGTAAAGAGTGTTTGGAATAGACTAGGAATATAATTTAGTGGTTTGGAATTTGGTTTTGATGTTATGTCACCATCCTTATTCAAACCTTTTGTAAGGCGAAAAAAAAAAGAACTAAGTAGACAACTCTTACAATTTTGAACATTTCTTTTATAATGTTTTTGTATAAAAACTTTTTTGATCATATCCCTCTATGTTGAATAATTCTCTATAGATGTTCAAACTTATAAAGAGATGTTTTCGACTCTTTTAAAGACTTTGTGGTTAAATCTGTAAAATAGGGTAAAATTACAGTACCTTGTTAAAAAAGTTATCATTACAATAAAATAAAGAGGAAATAATTAACTATTAACAGCTTTTAACAAAACCATAAAATTCACGATTCGTGGCAATACATCATTGATACCTCTGATAAGAAGAAACGTTAAAAAACCGAAGTAGAAGAAAAATGAGAATAATGAAGAAAGGCATCAAATTTCAACCAATATATGAGCAACACGTGTCTTAAGAGGTGTGAAAAGGGAACTCAATGGTCGGTTTTGATTGGCTAAAACCAATGGATGTCGGTCATCTCGGCCTACTGATTTGTAGATATTTTTTTGAGTGTTAAATTACTAATTTGACATTACCTCTTAATCAAATTAAAAAACGTTACCAAAAAAGATATTTACATATATGCAGCAAACTAAATTTTTGTTTCGTAGTCAGATATTTATTTATGCGCGATGATGATGTCCTTTTTTTTATTGTATATAAAACAAGATTAAACAGATGGTGGCATTTGAGAACGCACAAATTTCTTTTTTTTTTGTTTGGTTAAACTCATTAAATAATGATTAATGAATCGTGTTCAGTTGAAAGATTTAAGACGTCGTGCCACATTTTAATAAATTGAGACGTTTCATGAACACGCGACCCGTTGTTTATTAGCAGGGCCAAATTTTTAAGAAATTTTAGGTGTTGGGGCTGTCACTCTACCGACACATACCAAACAAAGCAATCGTTTTCGTTGCCAAAATTTGGTTTAATTAATTTGTCGTCTTACCCAAAATCTATACTCCATTTGTAAATGTTTTACGACATAGCATAAAAGTTTGTGCATCAGATTTAAACCGTCAGCCAAAATTGTCCATATTTCCAAATAATAAAATATGGAAGTAGGAAAAATGAATGGAGATGTAATCGAAAAACAAATACAATATTGAATCTCATATTGTATAGACCAATATCAAACCGGTTTTATGTATCTGAAAACCCAAAAAAAAAAAAAAACCAATACCATATCAAATCATTGGGGACTAAATATGCAGCACTGCCATTTATAAGTTGTGCCAATGGTTTACCAATAAGGTTACCAAAACGGATCAATCAAAGCCTACGGTTCTGTTTGACAACAAGCACATGATGCACACACTTATATGGCCTGATTATGCGTCTTTTTTTTTTTTTATCAACATTGGGCCACAATTGGTCGGCCCATTAGCCAAATCCCTACAAATATGTAGGGAGCGGGATTCGATCGGTGGTGTGATGGTGTCTGTCCAACAGTGGACTTATCAATTGCCACTAGACTAAGGACACTTCACGGCCTGATTATGCGTCTATCTCCCTTTTTCTTCAGTGTGCATGTTGCGTGGGTTTCAACTTTGAACCCTGATTTGGTGAAACGATAATGATACTATACACTCCTTACAAATTTTGAAACGTTGGTTCCACGGTTCGTTTACTAGTTACAGTAAGTAATCCCTACGTTCATTTGTGTAAAACAATACTATATATATATGTCTGATCTTGTACTACCATTATATAAATGGGTGTCTTTTGAAATGTTTTATGGGTGTATCTCCCTAAATCGATAGTTTAAAGATTTCCCAATATCAAGCGTATGCATGATCAGATTTATACATGAGAAAACATCGCACACAATATAAAGACCCCATTGATTTTTATGAAAAACAAATTTTTAAAGATTTTTTTTTTTTTTTGGACAAAAACAATTTTTATAGATTAAAACACAAATGATACATAAACTTTGCGACAAGCATAAGAAAAAGAGAAAAGAGAGAATGATAACGAAAACACAACAAACGTCCCACACTCCCACTCCCATATCACATTATTGATCATGTTTAATTACTTTTGCTTAAGCAGACTCTTTATCTTTCTTCTCCTCCTCTGTCTTGGCATGATAACCTGGAAGCTTCTCTTTGATCTTATCCATGAATCCCTTCTTTTCCTCCGGATGCTCAGCTATGGGAGTTGCCGTTTCAACCAGCGGCGTGGTGTTGACGACCTCTGAGTCCTCTGGTTTCTTGCTGTGGCCAGGAAGCTTCTCCTTGATCTTATCCATTAGTCCTTTCTTCTCTTCTTCCTCTGGTTTTTGATGCTCTACCGAGTGTGGTGCTGGCATGCTGGTGACGACCGGTACGTCATGACCCTCTGGTTTTTTCTCGCCGTGAGGAAACTTCTCTTTGATCTTATCCATCACTCCTTTGTTCTCTTCCTCTGTTTTCTCATCTCCTTCAAGGATCTTTTTCTTCTCCTTCTTCTTCTTTCTCCTCTCACCGTCTTCACCTTCTTCATCGCTCGACTGTTCAAAGAAATTCATATTTCAAAACCATGAGTTTCTTTGTTTCCTTGCTAACCACAAAAAGCTAACAAACTAATAAAAACTTTTACTTACAGAAGAAGAAGAGCTGTTGGATCGGTGGAGTTTTTTGATAAGACTTGGCTTGTTCTCTTCTTCCTCCTCGTGCTTCTGGTGAAGCTGCTCGAGGAGAGTAGGCTTATGTTCCTTCTGTTCCTCTTCTTCGTGCTTCGCCACGAACGGCTCTGGTTCAGAGATCTGAGTCTTGTGCTCGAACTCGGACGCGAGAGTAGTCGTCTCTTGAGGCTTCACTTCCTCCTTTTTCTTCAAGAAATCGAACATTCCCCGTTCCTTAATCTCTGGCGCTGCCGTTGATGACTCCTCTGTTGTTGCGACCTTAGGGGTCTCGTGCTCGGGAACGCTGTTCTTGTACTCTTCCGCCATAGTGTTAACCTTGAATTGAATGAACGGTTTAAAGAAAAATAATAAACAGAAACTTGGAAATTCGATTTGAGCTTTTAAGTTGCTTTTACGATAGTTTTGAAGAGCTGTATGAGTAATGAGTATTAATGCGACGAGTAGGGGGATTTATATAGTGTCAAGAGAAGGGTCCAGGCCAACGCGGAGGTCACGCTGTTTAAGATTTTAAGTTTTGAAAAAAGTAAAGCAAAGGACGAATACTATTTCTTAAATTGCAGAATGAACCCCCATTTCTATGACGTCGGTGGATGAATTGAATAGTATGTGTGTGAACGATATTATTATATGATATTGATATATATAAATGAAGAGTTATAAAGTAATAATACTATTAGCATAGTCATTTAGCTTTTTAGATCACGGGAGATGTATGAATAGGAGTTTGGTTGGTTTACATGGTGGTCGACGTAACCTCCTTTATATTTTATGAAATCGATTGTGTATAACAAAACTAGTTTGATAAGAGATATATAAAGAATTTGAATGGATTAGGATATAAATAATGTAGTGGTTAATTTGAACTAGTCTTTGTTTTCATATTGAGTTTTTGCCTTTATGTTCTTTTTAAAAAAGAGATCAGATAGTTGTATATATGTGTTCAACAAGGAGAAGAATGCCGGATTACAATGTTAATTAGCAGATTCTTAATCAAGCACGTAAAGAATTTGGAGAAGAACATCAAACTTCAAAAGGGATGTTTGACAACTCTTTCAAGACTTGTGAGGTTGTTTTTTAAGAAACAACAAAAATAACGGGTGAAAATTGCAATACATTCTACGAAATGAATCATCAAAACAAAAATAGCGGGTTGGTCAGACCGAGCTATTAGCAGGTTCAACTAGCCATAGTAGTCACGCCACGTGGAAACATCAGAGATGTAGGAGAAACTGAAATAATGTGGAAATGCATAGACTTAAGCCAATAGATAATGGACACGTGTCTGATGAACGGTACAGGAGACCACAACAATGGTCGGTTTTGATAGATGTCGGTCATGTGGACCCTATAGACTTCTGTATCCACGTCGGTAAAAGCTAGATTTTTTCAGATATTTTTTTTCGTGTTAATTACTTACTATAAGACTATAAAGTGACATTTTAAAGCTGTTTTAAAAAATGACATTGTTACTACTCTAAAAATTATCCTTTTTAAGACGTTACAATTAGAAGAACAAAAAAACATGCAGCCAAGTGAATGAACTAGTTTTGCTATTTGAAATAGTAAAGAAAATTAAATAATATTATGCATGTGGTTAAGGACGTAAGCTTTGTCCATTTGTATATTAAAAATGAGACTATGATGGGGTGCATTGAGAACGCACCATTTCGGATTTGGCATACATTTATTATTTAAGATAAAATGAATGTATCGGGTTCGGTTGAAAGATTCAATTCGATCGACGACATATGCCACATACTTAATTGAGACGTTTCCATACACACGCAACTCGTAACATAACGATACGAATCGCTTTTTTTTCTTTCTTTCTTTTAGGCTTTGGGACGGACACTGTACCGACACATACCAAACAAAGCCATCGTTTTCGTTCCTAAATTGACAACTAAATCACCTAGGATATACCTCATCAATATGGAAATACTACCTTTACAACTAAACAGAAATATAAGAATCAACCTAGAAACAAAGATCAAAGATATATCGCTTGATGTATATATCGTTTATTAATCCAATTTTGGTTTCTCCACTTACCATTTTCTTAACAAATTTAAACCGGAAATAGATGTAAAACATCGCATGCAATTATCCTCCCTAAATTTCCTACATTTTAGTATAATGAGACAACTGTACCCCAAATATAGAACAATTTTATAGAACAAAGACACAAAATGATCTAACTCCATTACATTTTTACGTACACGTAACGGCAGCCTTTTTCCTATTTAACGAAATATATTTTGTTTTCGTTTAAGATCTCGAAAGGCCCAAATGTGTAAATAAATAATACATCATTACCTTAACATGGGCTTCTAAATGGGCTATATGGCTTCTAAATTAAAGTCGGGTCGAACCGGAAAGTTATAACCCGACCCGAATATTTTTGACACCGAGACGGAGAGGAAAGGAGGAAGAAGAGGTGTTTTTTGACGCCTAACGAACTCTATACGAATCGAAATCACTGGTTTCGTCTCTGATTTTTTTTGTGAATCTGCAGAGGTGTTTCCCGTTGCTGGATTCTTCGATTTCGAATCGCGTCAAGCAGAATTGATCTTCAGTCTCGTGTGTCTCCGGCTATATTAGTCGACTGAGAAGAGAAGGTGACTTTTTTTTGTTTTTGAGGGGGTGAAATCGGAGAACGCTGCAATAGGGAAAGAGATGATAACAAGATCGAATCTAGCAGAGCAGCTCAGGGAATACCAGATTCGATCAAAGCATGATTGGGCATCTGTTTCTTTCTTCTCTTCCACCTCGAGTTTTTCTTCTTCTAGGTGACGATTATTATTGCTTTTTTTCTTCTTTATGATTCGAGATCTGTTGTGCATTTTTGTTTTGAAATTATGGTACAGTTTGTGTTTATTCGCTGGATGTTAGCTTTCTGGTTGCATAATGCTTAGAGAATTGGATTTGGTTTGTGTGAATTTTACATTTGGAAGTTAGGGTTCTGGAGATCTGAAGGTAACTTTCGTATCGGGAAATAGAAACTTCTCAAATTCGTGGGTTCTACTCATCTTATATGATCCTGATTTACAGAATTAGATTCCACCTCTTTGATAAATATGCACAAAGAATTCCGATTTAGAAGATATAGGAATTGGATGTTTGTCTCTGTTTAGCCGTCCAAAGTTTACCTGGCGATGAAAGATTTGGTAGTCCGTCTAAGGAATGCATAACTTTAGTAAAGCATGAAACTTTAAGACAATTTCAAGTTCATTGCATATTATATACACACAGTAAGGAAAATATGAATCATAGAGCCAGAGGAGTGTGATTTGATATTTTTTTTCTATCGTAATTATATTAAGTCAAGCTAGCTGGTTTGTGACCTTAATGCGACTTTTGACATTGTCAGTTTAGACGAGCTGTAGTTAGTTCTGTATCCAAAGTAACAATAGGTCTTCCAGTGTAGTGTGTTTATTAGAGTATTCAGTCTAAATACTTTTTTTTTTTTTGTTTAACTCGATTGATATTGGAGAGTATACTTAATGCTACCATCCAAATGTTGTTATCTCGATGCATGGCATGATTATGTCTGTTATTCGGGTATATTATTTTAGTTTCATTATGGGATCAGCAGCCGTTCATGCTTAGCACTGCGAGCTTATCGGGTTTAGTGATATATGGACAGATAAGATAGAGAGTAAGAGTAGTAATGCACCTCTGTATTTCTTCTGCATCTGACCTCTTTCCTCTTCAAATCGCCTTCCCGCTCATATACACTGTGGTTCATTCCCTTTTCTAACGAAGAAAGAGCTAATTATCATTATTTACAATATATGTGTACTTGTCTTTCCCCTAATATTAGTCCCATATGTTTCTGTCATATGATTACGTAGACCAAACTCTTGAATTTTTTCGTTCTAAAATTGGTTACACTGGTTAATTGGTTTACATCTCTTTTTCAAGATTCAATCCCATTTTCTGATGTTGAGTTGGTCGAGAGTCTCTTTTTTCTTATCTCTTACAATCATGATTGAGTCCATTGTTGTTTGACTTTTACTTAGTAAGCTTCACTAACATGTACAGATCTTTATGAGTTATACATCACTAATGAGCTTCTATTTGGTTTGATTCAGGGTGGATGTTGTAGTCTTTGTCATCTGGGAGCTAGTCATCTTAGCATTCTTAGTGTTTTCAGCGGTTTCCTTGTACTTCAAGCGGTTACAGCTCGCATTCATCTTGGTATGCGTAACTTTGCTGCTACTAATTTGCATGAAGGTCACAAAGCAAGTAAGGTTAGCCAGAAAGAAGAAGCGAAGGATGCTGCTTCCGCTATCTATGTAAAGTTGCAACATCTTCTTCATCCATATGAGACTTTGCAACCATTATCTCTTAGCCACCAAACTCACCTCCTCGTTTACTGTGCTACTCTACTTGCTGCTTTAATGGATGAAGATGACAATTATGCTCACAGCACGGGGTTTAGAGGTTTGAGTCCAGGTCAGGGTGGATGAGCTGGAAAATTTCAGGGTCTAGGGTTTTAGAGTCAGACGATCATTTTTTTGATTAGGGTTTGGCTGCAAATCTGGTTTTGTTCAGAGAAAAATGTGTTCGAAAGAGTTGTGTTTCATGTGTAACTGTGATTGTGAAATTCAAAAGGGTTTAGCCTAAACAAATGAGGAAAAATATAATATCCAAGCTTGCATTATTTTTCAGAGGGTAATTTCTCTGGTTTTCTATTTTGGTATATGAAACAACAAATAAACCAATCTTTTTCTACAAAACTTTGTTTTGCTTAACTGTTTCAGAGGTAATCTAAGTACACACCACAAGGATCGAGATGCAGCAAATAGGAACTATAACGGTGTACTACTCGGGACTACACATAGTTGAAAAGCGAGGGCTTGTAGGATTTCACGTGACTCGAAGAAGAAAAAGACAAAGGAGAAATTAAAACAAGGGAGATAGAGATACACAAGAAAGTAAGAATAGAGAAGTTGAGGACGTGAATATAGCAAAGAAAAGCAGCAGCAATTTGCTCTTCAACGGTCACATCTCACATGCTCTATTGTCACCACCACATCTCCTTTTACCCTCTCACAAACTTATACTATGTGGCCTAAATTATATGTAATTGTTGTTTACCATTCGCAATTAAATTTATAAATTGCTCTTTTTCTCTTGCCAGTTTATTCATTTTCATAATTATTTTTAAATTTTTTTATTTTTGCAACTATTAATTAACATATAGAACAGTATTTTCATATATAATTTTATGTATATATATTATATTTCATCTGTTTTATGTTAAGACTTTTACTGGTGATATATAGTTTTACTTTATAAAATTTGGTTTTCATAATTCTAGCTGGGTACCCAGTTTCTTAATTTCATCACATATGTTTATTATCGTTTAAGAAATCTTATTGCCTTTATGCCTAGATATGCAACACCATATTGACACCAACAAATATATCAAATGCAAAAGACCATTTTAAAAGGAAAAGAAGATGTAAGACAATAATAATACAATCATATGGTAACAAATTTTAACCCAAATAATGAAAATCACACGGCTACCTTACTCCTTCCACACATTCCTAATCTTCTTTTTGGGCCGCATGACAACTACCACAAACACTAATCACATTTTGTAGTATATATACGTGGAGAGAGAGAGGCAAGTATAGTTCAGACAGTAACATACTAACAGTATACACAACGGTATTATATTGTAACAGATCAAAGTTCCCATATATGTCTCTGAAGAAAAGATCTTGCTCGAGGCTTAGACTCACCGATTTGATGGAGAAGTGGAGGAAATGTAAGAAAGGCCACTTTGCTGTGTACACCAGAGAAGGCAGGAGGTTCGTTTTGCCCTTGGATTATCTGAAACATCCAATCTTTCAGGTCTTGTTGGAGATGGCAGAGGAAGAGTTTGGTTCCACCATTTGTGGCCCTTTACAGGTTCCTTGCGATGGAGGTTTGATGGATCACATCCTCACGTTGTTGAGAAACAGGAGTTTGTCTGACCATGATGATGACGGTGGTGATGATGGTGTGAAGAAGAAGACGATGAACCATGATGTATCCTCCATGAGCACATCTTGCAAGGGAGCTTCATCGGTTTCATATTTCTTCCCTCTCTTTCGTTGCACAGCCCATGATCAGAGCAAGCTCCAGTCTCTAGTTTTTTAACAGTTTATGCGTTGTGGAGAGCGCTTTTACACATAAAAGGTCTTTTCTGTTTGTGTATATATAGAGAAAGAGATTCTATATAAGCCTTCAGTTTTGTATATCATTGTTCATTTTTGACAGAAATATCTGTAGAAGAAGTAAATTAACATTTAAACCAAACAAACGAGTTAACTAACCGCGAAGTGCGAGCTAAGGCTGTTGCAGCGCTTCCTGCTAGAGTTTTGATGTTCTGAGCTTTATGAGTTCTCTTCTTAAAATCTTGCCAGAGGGATTTTTGGGGATTGAAGCCAAAAATGCGACTTTGCGAATCCTCTTGTATGGTGATACCTATGTAATTCAAACAAAAACTCCTGTTAAAATATAAGGAAACATGATTAGATTAGTGAGAAAACATGATATGCATTGTTGAAAAAACCTGTTTTTCGATGAATCCCATGATTTCGCTTTCCAGTAAGTTACTTCCAGCTTTTCTTACTATATACGCCATTGGATATTGTCCAGCTTCCATGTCAGGGATGCTTCAAAAAACCATAAGAAGGAAAAATAAAAGCTTGAGCAAAAAAAAGAAACATTAAAGAGAAGAATTTGATGAAGGCTCATGTTAAAAGCCGAGCTTACGGTACTACTGCTGCATCAGCAATCTCTGGATGAGCAAGCAACAGTGCCTCTAGTTCAGCTGGAGCAACCTAATTAACATTTAACAAATTACCAAAACCACCAACTTTACTATTCAGATGATCCATGCATCAAGAAAGTTGATTGCTTATATGTAGTTTTTTAACCTGATAACCATTGCATTTGATGAGCTCCTTTAATCTATCAACAACAAAGACAAACCCTTCACTATCAATGTAGCACAAATCTCCTGTTTTCAACCATCCTTCAGAGTCAATAGTAGAAGCAGTAGCTTCTTCGTTCTTGAAATAACCTTTAAACAAATCAAGAAGTTTCAGACAACACCAAAAACAAGAAACAAATAACACCTTTTGCAGAAAGATGAGCTAAAGATGAAGAGTCAACACCTTTCATGACAGTGGGACTTCGAATCCACAGCTCACCAGTTTGATTCACACCCAAGATCCGACCCGTATCCGGATCCACAATCTTAGCTTCCACATTTGGGGCCAGCAAACCAGAAGCTCCATACCTCTTAGCCTCCCCTTTAGTGAACATAGAAGCAGCTATAGCCGTTGACTCAGTCAAACCATACCCTTGTAAAATCTTAACCGTCGGATAATTCTCAACGAACTTCTCAATCACCTCTCTACTCAATGGGGCTCCTCCAACCACAATGGTGTGCAACGAGCTCAGATCATACTTGGAATTGATCTCATTTGCTCTATTTACCATAGCTACCACAATAGGCGGCACAAGGGAAAGATACGAAGATCGGTGAATCTCCACGGCCGAGAGAAGCTGAGCCATCTCGAATTTGGGAAGAACCACGATCGTCCATCCTAAAGCGATTAGCCCCGTCGCGAAACTCCCGAAACCGTACACGTGGCACATCGGGATTGTGCAGACGGTTCGCTGCTCCAAACCGAACCGGGCCCGGCATGCTTGTACCGATGCGATTAGGTTACGGTGAGTCAGCATTACTCCTTTACTCGTCCCCGTCGTACCTGATGAGTATAACAGAGCCGCTGTATCGTCCTGGTTGACTCGTTGCTTCACTCGTGACTCAATCGGTTCCGTTTCAATCATCGTCTCTAGCCTCCCGACTATTTTAACGCGCTCGTCGTGATTTTGAGAAGGAACGTGGTTTTCGTCCATGAGAACCACCGGGAGATTCGAATCCGACGCGGCGGCGAGTTTGGAGACGAGCTGACATGTGGTGAAGGCGAGAACAGGTCGCGAATTATTTATCTGTTTAGAAATCTCGTCGGAAGTGTTGATCGGATTAGCTGTGGTGATGATTGCGCCGAGTGTCATAACGGAGAGTGAGACGATTGGGAAGAGGATTGAGTTGGGAGAGAGTACAATGACGACATTGCCTTTGCGTACACCTAATGCGTAGAGACTAGCCGCGACTCTTTCAACGCCGAGCCAGAGCTCGGAGAAAGTAAGGCGACGACCGGTGACGGCGTCGACGAACACGGTTTTACCGCCATGAGGCTGCGATGAAATGAAAGTCGTGACGTCGAGGTTTTGGTTTGGCGGGAGAGCCACTGGCTCACGTTTGCTGTAGAAAATCGATGTGGATTCGCAGAACCCGCTTTTCCGGTCAAGTGAAAGAGTTCTGGATCCGATATCGCCGCCGTGCATAACCACCATGTCTTCGGGACCTCGGTTGTATCGAAAGCCTACCTCTCAGTCAATGGTCGTCAGAGACTGGTGTCGTCTTCGAGTTCAAGTTTCATAATATTATTATTTTTTTTTTTAAGGCAAAAAGCAAAAGCCCACTTCACTCCCAATCTTTGACCCGCTACGACTTTGGGCCTAATCAATATTAGCGTTTTTTAGCGGATAATATAAAAATCAGTTCCGATTAATTCAGTCATCACACATTCATACCACTATTTCACAAGACTCACACACACATGACACAACAACACATATCATAATATAAATTATTTTCTGAAACGAACTGCTTTGTACTTTTGTCATTAATTAATTGGTAGTGACTGATGATTGCTTAACCAGCATTTTGTTGTATAGTCAGATCTATAGGCAAGGATAATGTGGTGATTAAACAAATGCACAAATGCTGTGACGGATCGTGGTAGGTGAAATCCGACTCAATGATCTTGGTTGGTATAACTCGTATTAATCATAGCTGGTAGTGGTAGGTCTAGATAAAACACCTGAATATGAAAAAATCGAATCGAAACTTTACCGAATTGAAAGGGAACTGAACTACCTAAACTCCTAATATCCGAAGAATCGAAACCGAATCATCAAAAGAAAACATCAATTAGCAAACTGTTTCAACATTTTGTTTTATATGAGTCTCCTTCCAACTTATTCAATATCAGCTTAGCAAACAATTTCTTAAAAAAAAAAGAAAATCCTCTCTTATTGAGAAAAACAATACAATCGGTAAAAATAAGAATCTAGCAAAGAGATCCTTTTAAAGTTTGGAAGTTGCCAGTCTGATTAAGTCTTTGCGAAGTGTTTTACCGGATACAGTCTTTGGTATGGAATTTATAAATGCAACCTTCCTTATATTTTTATATGGTGCCACCTACTCATCAAACCACCCAAAAATAGTGTAAGTAAAAACAAGATTAGAAAAGAATGGTGTTGGTTTGTGATTACAAAAAGAGGACCTGTTTAGAGATGAAGTCAATGATTTGTTTCTCGGATAGATTGCTTTCGGACACTCTCACCACGTAGGCCATTGGATACTGTCCTGCTTCTTTGTCCGGAAACCTTTTTGGGACGATGCACAAAAACAAACAAACATGAACAGAATAACACAAAACTACCTACATGGTGTTTTTAGCTGAAAGAAAAGAAAAAGGTTATGAAATTTTCATTTACGGGATGACGGCTGCATCGATAATGCATGGATGAGTGATCAAAAGAGCTTCTAGTTCAGCTGGAGGCACCTGTTTATCATATTTTAAACGTTAGCAGTTTTTTTTAACCATTTATACATAACGATAATGTATACATCTTTTAACCTGATAGCCTTTGTATTTGATCAGTTCTTTGAGTCGATCAACAACAAAAAGAAACCCATCTTCATCAATATAGCAGAGGTCTCCCGTTTTTAGCCATCCTTCTCCATTGATGGTTTCATTTGTAGCTTCTTCGTTTCTAAAGTAACCTTTTTTATATTAAAAAAAAAACAGATAAATATTTATATGAATTTACAAATGTTTAAATACTTATATAAAATATTTTATATGGGTTTGCCACAATTATAGAGAGAACAAGTTGATCACCTTTAGAAATAGAAGGGCCCTTGAGCCAGAGCTCACCGGTTTGATTAACTCCCATGACCCGACCCGTATTCGGATCCACTATTCTCGCTTCCACATCAGACGTCAACGTCCCCGCCGTGCCGTATTTCCGTAGAGGAGCCTCCTCCTCTGCAAGACCCGAGTTAGCCCCTCCGCCGTTTGATTCCGTCAACGCATACCCCTGATGTATCTCAACCGACGGATATCTCTCTAAAAACCCTTCCGTAACCGCCTTGCTCAACGGAGCCCCACCACACCTCACCAACCTCAGCGAGCTCAGATCGTACTTGGCCTTGATCAGATCTGCACCGTTGATCATAGCTACTAAAACCGGCGGCGCCATTATTAGACTTGTGGCTTTGAACTTGTCCACAGCATCTAACATATCGTGAAGCTCAAATCTTCGGAGGACCACCACCGTCGTTCCCAATGCTACGGTCCGCATGGCGAAGCCTAGTAATCCATAAGTGTGGGACATTGGAACGGTGCAGAGGACTATCTCGTCTTCTTGTTTCAGTTTATCGGAGAGGTGTCTCGCCACGTGAGCGGTTAAATTACCGTGAGACGAGATCACTCCTTTGCTCGGTCCTGTCGTCCCCGACGAGTAAAGCATCATCGCCGTGTCGTCCTTGTTCACTCGGTCTCTGACTCGTTGACCACGCGGTTCTTTCTTCATCATCTCGCTTAAAATTCCGACGACCCTAACTCCGAGGGATGGCTCCTCCTCGCCGTCGTCGGTGAGAACGACGGAGACAGCGGCCGCGAGTTTGAGTGCCAGCTGGCGCGTGGTGAACGCGAGAGTTGGGTTGCAGTCGGCGATCTGTTTAGAGATCTCACCGGCGGTGTTGAGAGTGTTGGCGGTGGTGACGACGGCGCCGAGAGACATGACGGAGAGGCAGACGACGGGAATGTAGATTGAGTTTGGAGAGAGGATGAGGATGACGTCACCTCTTCTTATTCCGATTTCGTGATAAAGAAAGTCAGCGACACGATCGACGGCTCTCCAAAGATCGGAGAAGCTTAAACGGTGGCCCGTGGCGGCGTCGATGAAGGCGGTGGTGCCGCGGTGAGGCAGAGAGGAGATGAAAGTTGTGACGTCAATGGAAGGATTTGGCGGGAGACTCAGTGGGTTGCGTTTGCTATAGAATGTAGAGTTTGATTTGCAGAAACCGCTTCTGGGATCAACACTGAGAGATCTCTGAGGATACTCCATTTTCTCAAAGCGTGGAAGTTTTGAACTATGTGAGGACAGTTTCAATAGCAATGGCTAATTATTATTGTAAGTTAAAGAGAGATACCTACTTAAAGTAAAACAGATTTTAGTTTTATACATCTTTCCATGATTACTATGATATGCAAAAAATGACATTAGTAAACTTAATTAGATAAGGATTATGACATGGCGGACACAAAAATGATGAGTATAGAAAAGACAATACAGTATTGGGAAATCTCGGCCCTCCATTAAAATATCAGATGAAGTTGATTTCAACTCACAACAGTGCAAATTTATTGAATTCTGGCCACAAAACTACACCTTGTCCCAATGGAAAACGTGACACTGCCAGAAAAAAAATGGAAAAGAAAAAAGAACCCTCGAATTACCACGAAGGTGACAGATTTATTTACCCAACATTTTTATTACATATTAAGATTTTGGATTTCTCTATTTTTTTAAGTCTTGTAACAATTTCAAAGCTTGAAGTTGGAAGGGATCACGAGCTTTATGAGATCCTTACGTAGAATATTACCTGAAGGATTCTTTGGAATAGAAGACATAAACTTCACCTTTCGTATCTTCTTGTAAGGTGCTACTTGTTTCGCTACAAACTCCATTATCGTCTTCTCTGTTATGAAGCTTCCAGGTTTCCTTACAACGCACGCCATCGGAAATTCCCCTACTACTTTGTCCGGAAACCTGTTAAATCCCCAAAAACATTAAACAACTCATGACTGTACATTAAACAACACATAAGATGAGTGTACACTGTTTGTGACTTACGGGATTACTGCAACATCTTTGATCTCATGATGAGTGAGCAGCAAAGCTTCTAATTCAGCTGGAGGGACCTTTGCAAAATGCAATGATCACAAAATAAAATAAAAATGAATTAGAACCATTTTCAGAGTTTCTAATCTATACGTTTAGACAAACTTCAGAGGATGTTAGAAATGTTCGAATGCATACATCTACACATACAATCGTAAACTCATCGAAATGTTTTGTAACCTGGTAAGCTTTGTATTTGATTAGCTCTTTCAATCGATCCACTATAAAAAGAAACCCATCATCGTCGATGTAGCAGAGATCTCCAGTTTTAAGCCACCCCTGTGAGCTAAATGCTTCGTTTGTTGCTTCTTCGTTTCTAAAATAACCTTTTCAACCCAAAAACAAAGAGTTGTAAAATAAAATTTTCAAACCTCTGATTTTGAATTACTTGTCAGACACGATACCTTTTGCAATGGCGGGACTTTTGAGCCAAAGCTCGCCCGTTTCGTTCTCACTCAACATTCGACCTGTATCCGGATCCACGATCCTTGCTTCAACGCCGGAAGACAACTTACCCACCGCACCGTATCTCTGACTCTCCTCCACCGTATCCATGGAAGCTCCTGCGCTGTTTGATTCCGTTAACGCATACGCTTGAAAAACATCAACCGTTGGATACTTCTCTAAAAAACTCTCTGTGACCTCTTTGCTCAACGGTGCTCCACCGGATCTAACCGTTTTCAGGGAGGTCAAATCGTACTTAGCCTTTATCAGATCTGAGCCGTTGATCATAGCTACCAAAACTGGCGGCGCCAAAACCAGAGTCCTGACTCTGTATTTCTCTATTGCTGCCAACATATCGTGGAGACCAAACTTCCGGAGAATTACCACCGTCGAACCTAATGCTACGGTGGCCATGGCGTAGATCAGTAAACCGTAGGTGTGGAACATCGGAACGGTGCAGAGGAAGGTCTGATTTGGTGGCGCCAATGGCTCAGAGATGTACCTCGCTATGTGCGCGATTAAGTTCCCCTGAGAAGAATCCACTCCTTTGCTTCTTCCTGTGGTTCCCGACGAGTAGAGCAGCATTGCCGTGTCGTCTTGGTTAACTCGGTCTCTGACTCGCTGCCCACTCTGTTCCTTTTCCATCATCTCGCTTAAAACCCCAACGACCCTGACTCCGCGAGTTGATCCCACGATCTCTTCCTCGTCGTCTTCCGTGAGGACAACGGAGATATCGGCTGAGGCTGCGAGTTTGGGAGCTAGCTCGGGAGTTGCAAAGGCCAGCTTTGGCTTGCTGTCTGCAATCTGTCTGGAGATCTCACCGGCGGTGTTGAGAGGATTCGCGGTGGTTATCACGGCTCCTAGGGACATGACGGCGAGGCTTACGACGGGGATGGAGATGGAGTTCGGGGAGAGGATGAGTACGACGTCGCCTCTCCTTATGCCAATGTCGTGGTGGAGACAGTCGGCGACACGATCAACGGATCTCCAGAAATCGGAGAAGCTAATGCGATGGCCTGTGGAGGCGTCGATGAAGGCGGTGGTGCCACGGTGAGGTTGAGAGGACATGAATGTTGTGACGTCAAGCGACGTGTCTGCCGGCAGTGGTAATGGACTGCGTTTACTGTAAAATGTCGAGTTTGCTTTACAGAAACCCTTTTTAGGATCAATGAGCGATGGTGATGATGATGGTCTTTCTGAATCCTCCATTTTCTTCAGCTGGTTAGATGGATGATTCAGCTCTGAGATTGTTTAAGACATAAACTATTGAATTTCTTGTGTTATTGAAACCGACAAATATACATGTATGGAAAGCGAGATGAACCATAGAGAGAACCTGGATTTGCCAGACCGGTTTCTAATGGATCGGCTGATTCGTCTGAGTAAAACTTCCGAGGATTCAGCTGTAATCCGACAAGACGAGGAAGAGGAGCTAGTCTCCCAAACCAACGCGTACATACAAGAAGAGTCATCTCAAAAAGTAGCCAATGAGTAAGACAAGTCTTTGTAGGGGATATATATGGTCACTGTATCCAGGTTCTCTTACATATAACCAATTTTTTTTTGGGGTTTGAGCTTAAAACATGACCTTTAAGTCAAAAATAGTATATCAGGTAAAGAAGTTAATCTACCAAACTACACTATGTCCGCACAAGAATGTGAAACAGCCAGAAATCCTCGAGTTACCTCAAAGTAGGAATCACGTAAATGGTGTAAGAAGTTAGGCGTAAAGTAGTATAAGCTTTTGCTAATATATAATTCTGTTTTATAATTTGGCCATCATCTAATATTTGATCATAAAAATCGTTTTGAAAGTAGACATTTATTTAAATTAACAGTAATTTATGTGTCATATGTGTTTTGACTTGAGACCTAATAAGGGTCATATTTCAAAATGTAAGGAATCATAGAAATTGTCATACGACTTTTGCTTTTCCACCAATGCAACAGATTCACTACATTACAAACAGTAATACAACACATACATAGCCTCTCACTATAACTAGTCTCATAAAACTTTCAAAGCTTGGATTTGGAAGTTGCCAGCTTGATGAGATCCTTGCGCAAAATCTTGCCTGAAGGGTTCTTTGGTATGGAAGTTACGAAAACCACTTTTCGTATCCTCTTGTACGGTGCTACTTGTTTTGCTACAAACTCCATTATTGACTTCTCTGATAAGCTGCTCCCAGTGTTCCTTACAACGTATGCCATCGGGAATTGCCCCACTGCTTTGTCCGGAAACCTATAAATCGCCAAAAACATTAGAAACTCAAGACTCTTTCTTAGTTTAAAGAAACACTACTGACGGCGTGACTTACGGGATACAAGCAGCATCAGTGATTTCAGGATGAGTGAGCAACAAAGCCTCTAGCTCAGCTGGAGCAACCTATCCAATAATATCACCAAGTGGAGTTTAGCACAATTCTCATCTCTTTGCAATGAAAGAGCAATGTTCGAATATACTCAATCCCCATTCCGACAAGCTTATCATAAGTTCATAACACACAATCACACTTCCAGGCTCAGAAATTACTGATTGATTAATCAGTACTATTCCCTAATGCTGGATAAGGACTATAGCATAAAAATCAACAGTGGTTATATGTATATTGTAAATATTACCTGGTAGCCCTTATACTTGATCAGTTCCTTCAACCGGTCAACCACGAATATGAATCCATCTTCATCAATATAGCAGAGATCTCCAGTTCTTAGCCATCCTTCAGAATCAAGAGTGGAGCTCGTAGCTTCCTCGTTACTAAAATAACCTACCAAAGATCAAACAACACACCCAACAAAACATCAAAAACCCAATTCCTGCTTTGATGATCTCAATTCTTGAATTCAGCATCCTCGAAGAATTAAAATGTACCTTTCATTATAGAAGGACCCTTGAGCCAGAGCTCACCGGTTTGGTTCGGTCCAAGAATCTGACCCGTAACCGGATCCACAATCCTCCCCTCCATACTTGCCGACAATTTCCCGGCGGTGCCGTATCTCCGGCTTTCCTCAACAGTATCCGTGGAAGCTCCTATTCCCGTTGACTCAGTCAACCCATAACCTTGCATAATCTTGACCGTCGAATACTTCTCCGCGAACCCTTCAGTCACTTCCTTACTCAACGGAGCTCCGCCGCACAAAACAGTGTGCATAGAGCTCAAATCGTACTTAGCTTTGATCTGATCAGCGCCGTTAACCATCGCCACAAGAATCGGAGGCACGAGAGGCAGAAACGTGGCTTGATACTTGCCAATCGCAGACATCATCTCGTGCATCTCGAATTTGGAGAGAACGATGATCGTGGATCCGTAAGCGAGGAGTCCAGTGGCGAACGCAGCTAAGCCGTAGATGTGAAACATAGGAACGGTGCAGATGAACCGTTGCTCTCCTTGTGTTCCATCATCAGATCCGAATCGATTCACGACGGTTTGAACCATCGCGATTAAGTTACGGTGAGACGAGATCACTCCTTTGCTCATCCCCGTGGTTCCGGAAGAGTAAAGCAAAGTCGCCGTGTCGTCCTGCTCAACTCGCTCCATAACTCGGTTCCCGCTCGGCTTCCTCTTCATCATCTCCACCAGTCTCCCCACCTTCCCGACTGAGTCAACTCGTTCCTCGTCCATGAGCACGATCGGGAGCTTCGCCGCGGCGGCGGAGATTTTCGGGAGGAGCTGAGCCGTGGTGAAGGCGATGACCGGGTTCGAATCTTTGATCTGTTTAGCGATCTCTCCGGAAGTGTTGAGAGGATTGGTGGTGGTGATGATCGCGCCGAGTGACATGACGGAGAGGCAAACGACGGGGAATAGAATCGAGTTCGGAGAGAGGAGAAGGACGACGTGTCCCTTTCGAATCCCCATCTGGTAGAGACAATCTGCGACGGACTCCACGGCACGCCATAGCTCGGAGAATGTGAGGTTTTTGCCCGTGGAAGCGTCGATGAAGGCGATACGGCCGCGGTGAGCTTGAGAAGATATGAAAGTAGTGACGTCGAGTGATGGATTCGGCGGGAGTGGGATTGGTGTTCGTTTGCTGTAGAATGTTTTATTCGAGTTGCAGAAACCACTTCGTGAGTTAACTGAAGCCATTTTTAGAATCTATCTGGATTTGTTTCTCTCTCTGTGACTTACTTAATACAACAGTTGAACTTATTAAGTTCTTGGCTGATAAGAAGTTTGACTTTTATAAGACAAAGTATTTGAGCCGTCGAGGACCACGTTTTGTTCTCTTGTTCCGACTTCCGAGATATTTCCAGGCCGTTTTGATACCACGTGAAAATTATGTGTATTTAACTTTATTTCTTTTGACCAACAACGATAAAATCTCTTTGAAATAACGTGATTTATGGGCCAGGCCTTTTCTGAAGGCCCATATCGGGATGGATCGTTAACAGGGAGTGTTGTTGAGTTTGTTTGTATTTCCTCTATTTTTGATTTCTGTTTCTTTTTTTTTTTGTGTTTTTTCCTTTTTTTTAATCCATCTCATGGAGATTATCACTAGGTAGTGTCTGTATTTGCACTGTTGTATCTTCTTGTTTTGTAAGATTCATCTTTCTGATGAGCAATAGATTACACTGTTTAATGGATGAGGACAAACTTTATTGGCTTAAATCCTGTTTTTTTTCTCATGTCTTTATGTGTGTGTTTCCCACAACCAAACTTACCAAGAACATATGATTAAATACTTTGATTTGTTGTCCTTTAACTGTTGATTTCTATCACCATATGTGCAACCTCGTTATTGTCTTTGCTAAAACGTGCTCAATTGTGTGTAATTGACTTTGTAAGATGATAATATTTTTGTATTTGCTTATAATTCTAATTTTTACATGTATATATTTGCTTATATGTCTTCCAATCAAACCGGAGATGTCTTAGCTGTAAGAATATTAAGAAGTGAAACTCTGGTCTGAATAAGTCGCCGGAAAATACATCCCAACTCGATCTCAAGCTCCTCAACAGCGATTTGTGCAGCCTGCAACCTTGTACCCGCGGTCTGCAGCCTGACTTCGTCCCATACATCATCATCAAAGCAGCATAGCTGCATCGTAAATATCGAAGACAACGACCCTTTGCTTGGTTTTTTTTCGAGACAAGGAACACACACGAGCGAGAACAGAGACTCGACCATAGTCACAATGGCTCTTCTCACTTCCTGCAAAACCTCGGTGACAAACACAAGGTTCTGCTCTATGCTCTGCATCTCCATCGTCCCTCTTCCTCCTCCTCCTTCAATACTCTTTAGACGATTCAAACACTTGAGCGTTTCCTTCTTGAGCTTGTTCCTGTACCGATTATAAGCTGCGATCTTCTCACTGAGGTTTGCTCCGTTACAGCGCAGAGTCAGCTGAAGATCTCGAAGGCTATGTCTCACAAGCGTCATGACGTCTTTTGACACGTTACATACATCTAACATTATCAGTGAAGCGTCAGAGACTTGCTCGATCCATTTCTCTTTCCCTTGCCGAAACAGAGACTCTCTTGCTTCTGGACAGTGATCGAGAAGATAGTTTGCAGATTCTTGTAGTTCTCTCAAGCCTTCCAAGTCCACTAGCGCCATTCGATTGAAACCTCAAAATTCAAAAGGGTATTGCTTGAATCAGAGAACGGAGATATTGGAATGATTTTAATAAGAGAATTATGATTAAGGTTTAGTGAAAATATGGGGAGACTCCATATATAGGGAATGTTGTGATTGGATTGAGAAGAATGAGGAAAGTACAATGAAAGAACCCTTGAGGTGTTTTTCTTCTTGTACGTACGTGAAGACATTTGTGTTGGAAAACAGGTCATTTAGGTTTATAAATTCAAACTAGTTGAAGTTAGTAGTATTTAGGAAACTTCCGTTTGTGTATAAGTTGCAATATGCTACATTATGGATTTGATCTGATATTGTTGTCTACGAAACAAAACAAAAAGTTCAAATTATTTAATTTAAACTAATGGGGTACCTTTATCAGAAATCATGCATGCATGAACCAAGCCAGCCAGTGTAGCTTTGTAATTATCTGAATTGTTAGGAATCAAAACAGAGACAGCATTATATTTGTTTATATATCAGAGAGGAGAGGATGTTCATGTTCCAGAGTTTTTCATTTGCATTGTCCGTGTGTGTCGGTTTTAATGATTTGTCAAACTCATCATTCTCTAAACACATCGTCATTAATTAGTCGTATATGTTGAGATTTGAGACAAACATTCGTTAACAAGAGGATTATATTATCTGCTAAACTGTGTTTAAAATCACATGTACGTGCCAGTATTATTGGTCTACGCTACATAATACATATAGATATTATTCATATAGATACATATAGATCTTGACAATTGAGTCAATTAGCAGATTCTCATAGCACCTGATAGATTCGAAGCCATTAATTCCAACTTCCAAGTTCCCAACTCGTAAATTGTTTTGTTGGTGGAGCATAACATCTGATTATTCGATTTTTTCTATTAATTAAGAACTTATCCTCAGGTGCTTATTATGAGTTCCTTATTAAAAATAAATATGTATATATGCTTTGAGTTGTGATGAAGAGTTATATCAAGAATCAAAAGACAATCACTAGCTGCTATATGAGTATTTTTCTCATTCTTTTCCAATGATTAGGTTTCTATAAGAAATTAAGAGCATGGAGCTTCCACAATGGTATCAGTTGAATCGGGTTTATAAAATGAGATATTTTATTTGTATTAATTCACAATCAGAATCCCAAATTGTAGTCACAAAACTTGTGGAGGACAAAGTTGGAAGTCTCAACTTGAGAATGTGCCAAATGGAGACTTCTTGTGACGCAAGAAAACCCATGAGGGTTAGACTTCGAACTAACTCAAATGTTCATGATTGGAATTTGGAATGTAGTATCTTCTTATCAAAGCTACAGCATCAGTATTCGGCTATGACCATAATCAAAAATTTTAATGAAATTTAATAACTCATCCAAGAACAGGAGTGAAACAAAGATAGAAGAATGAATAAAAGAACTTAAACAAACGGGTACATTACGTGCACATTAAGTCAAGTTCCTCGTAAGTCTGTTTCGAGTTTATAGCTAACTTCTCCATAGATTTGAATATCTGTTCCATGTCAGACTTCAGATTTAAAGCGCCCATTAATTCAACAGGTGGTAGTGTCTTCATCTTCCTATGCATCTTAAGCTCTTCTTTCTCTAACATCACAAGTTTTCTCTCTATATCTTTGACCCTGACATTAACATTCCGTTGCTCTTCTAATTCCATCCTCTGTTTCCCCACTTGACGGTTTACGTGCATCAAAATCATGTAAACCGCTTCTGTGAACTTCATCTCTCCATCTGATATGTCAAGTGTTTGTGACCAACTGTTAATAGCACCAAACAATGGTGGCTCTTCTGAGAGATCAGGTGTTGGTTCTTGAGGTTCTTGCTTCAAACATCTCATTAGCCAACTGTTCAAGGCCTTAACATACTGAGCCTGAGCATCTATCCAGTTGGATAGGTTTTGGCTCCAGTTCCTCAGCTCCAGTTTCAATTCCATAGCAAGCTCAAGCTGAGATATGTCTAGTTTTTCCTTTAGTGTCATCTTGTCAAGCTTCTTAGCCTCTGAAATTACTCTGGATTGTCTACTGTGACATTCTAACATCGAGCTCCACATACCAAACAACCTATACATTGAGACACATCAAGCTGAGATAACTCATAAGGTTTCTCAAGCAAAATCTTGAAAAACTTATGGTAATTGTAATTCTCTTAGTACCTGTGGATCAATTTTTTCATCTGGGACCAGAGCTCTTCATCGCGTAACTTGTTAATCATCAGACATATATTGTTTATCTTATGGATAGAGACTCTCATTCTCGTAGACAGACACTGAATAGAAGAACGAACGGCTTCGATTTTGCTCGGCTCTGCACATTTCGCTTCCAATCTCCTCAATTGTTTGTAGTTCTTAATGTGAGCTGTTCGGAGCTTCTCCTCAGCCTTATACATAAAAAATAAAAAGTCTCGAAAAGGAACATAAACACACTTGTGTATGTTATGCTAAAACCATTTTGATTATACCTTAACTTCTTGGTACAGTTTCTTCTCCCACATGAATAGTTTCTTAAGAGTAGATGAAAGATTACTGAAGTTAGTTCCAAAATCTTCCACTGGTTTGGGATCCAACGGAGTCATCATCTTCTTGGCGTAGAGAATGTTTGAAGAAGCTGATAGAGCTAAACAGAATCAGAAACAAATAGATAATGACATTAACAAAGGAAGAGAAAGTAAGAAGAAGAAGAAATGGAAACATTTTACCACTTTGATAAACTGAGGTTTTCTGGTAGTATCTGAATCTCGAAGTGTCGAACATCTTCGAAACATCGTTCCCTGAATCTGAAGCTTCCTTGAACATTTCCTCCAATTGCTTTGTGACTTGAGAGAAATCTGATGAAACTTTTTGATCCTTTGGTGATTTTTTCACACCACTACTCTTTTTCTCCGATTCATTAGGTTTCTTCTTGACTGAGATTTTCAGATTTTGTTTCGGTTCCTCTGCTTTAATCGTCTTCTTCGTCAAAGTATATTCTTCATGACAACGAGTGGTCTCTCTGTCTTTCAAATCCTTGGGATCCGTAGTGTAAGGAAGCTCATAGCTCTCGAAGAGATTGATAAAATCCCATGCGTAGTTACTCGCCGCCGGCGGTGGCGGAGGCGGCGTTATGGTTCCGGACTCGTAACTCCTCCGGGAGTAGAACGAGTCATGATTTGGATTTAGGGATTCGAGTTTTGGACATCCAAATAAATCGCAATTCGTCGTGCCTTCTTCTTCGCAATCCGAGTCGAATTTGGGAGGCAAATCGGAATCAGAGCTGGTGACGGAGTGAGATGAGGAAGATGACTCTTCAGGTTCGGAATCAGGATCGGGCGGAGACTCGACGGCTTGGTCGAAGAATCTATGAAGAGCTGGACCAACGGTGTTAAGAGAGAGGAGGTAAGCGGAGTGAGCGTCGGCTAAGGCGTAGCTGCGGCGGAGTGTTTCCTCAAGAGAGTTGCAGCGGTCACGGCATAGAGCGACGGCTGGTAAACCGTCGAGCTTTGAGGGAGAGCATCCCATAACGGTCGGCGGAGGCAAGAATAAGATGTGTGTTTTATTACAAACTCGGATTTGGCATATATACAAAAATTACACGACAATATATAATAATTAGCGTACGTGATTAAGGTTAGGTGTAATTAATTGGACAAGGACTAATATTCGCGGATTATTGAGACATGTAATTAATTAAAATTTTGAGAGTTACGTTCTCAAGACAAAAAAAACTCTGCTGTGGCGGGATCCCCCACTCAATAACGTCTATATTATTTTTTTTTCCTGGTTTTCTTTTCTGAGTTCTAAATTTTTCCTATGATCAAATTTTTTTAAATAACTAAAAGAGCACTTATTTTTAATTGTTGAAGTTTTGGAAATTGACAGAAAAACAATTCATTGCTGAATGTAAAACCACATTACATTTTTAAATTGAAAAATTCATATAGAGAAGTAGTGACACTTCTTCTAGATATAAGAATGAGTTTTTGTTGTTGTTGTTCAGGTAGATAAGATGATTACGATACAAATAAGAGCCGTTTTTTTCTTGTAGATGGAAGGGACATTTAACCAAACTTCAAATCTCCAGGTAGTAATTACAATTAGTCATTTTAGTCTCGTTCTTTATGCTATGGAACTCAAAGAACCATGCAATGTAAATATTCAACTTCGGAATCATTGAAGCATAGAAAGTGGGAAAAGACGTGGTTTTACAAAAGTTAAAGCTACTTCAAAGTGAAAGGTGAAAAGTTATAAAATTACTATAAAGTTTTGAGATTCAAAGTAACCTAAAGTATTTTTATTTTTATAATGCAATCATGCTTTAATAAAAGTGTATATCCTCGCAATAACATGCACATGTTTAAGTTTCATATTTTAATCTTGTTTTTTTTTTTTCTTTTTCCAACTCAAATCTTACGAGTTACGACTTTAGCTTCAAACAAAAATACGTACAAAGAACTGAATGAAGTATTTGTCAAGATATAAATCTCTATATAACCTCACTGATCATCTCCGGCATCATCCCATCTCCAATTTACACACTTGAGCATCTCTATATATTCTTCATGTCATCATGTGTATTATATTCACACACTTGTAAGTGTCTCATTGTCAACAAAGTGATGATTAAGTTCCTTTATCAGTTTGTATACAGTCTACACTAATAGAGACTTTTTTTCTAGTAGTTAAGTTGTAGCAATTTTACAGATTATTAAAAAAAAATTCAAACAAAAGATTGGTAGGAAATCTCCTCTCATAAGTGATAAGTGTTAGCTTAAGGGTTGGGATCAAATAGTCCGAAAAATAATGAAGTATATACAGAAGTATTGGACTATTAAATTATTGCCAATTACTCCAAGTTTATCCATTCATCTTAAAAGTATATTATATAGAAAAAATAAAGGTATGTAGATATGGTGTACCAAAGAGCGTCTGTATGCGCACGTCTCAACTTTGAAGTCGTCAACTTAAGAGTGATAGTTGGGATTTCTGGTTTTTGAGGCTTTTGAGAAAGATAGGACAAAGTAGAAAAAAGGCAAGACTGAAATATACGTATAACAATGCACGAGAGGATCTCTAGGTTTCCCTAAACGAGCCCATCTGTTAAAAGAAGAAATTTTCTTTTTAAGTTTTTTTTTTTTTCTAGTGCAACAATAGAAAGGTAAAGGAATGTTTCTTTTCTGGGGATGGTGGAGATCCACCTCCTCAAATTTTGTCATCTTACCACAACTTTTTACTACTTTTCTTTGCTAGGATATTCCCATGCGTACGTATTATATATATTCTATACTTAAACATGATTTCATTCACAACACCCGTACGTATTACTGAAAAGACGACAATAATGTTAGTTAATATTTAGTGTCTTGCATGAACGCAAACACATGCTTTGGGGTTTCCACAAAACTGATAGACAAATACATTTACAGTACAAAGTCGTATGTTTTCATTCAAAACAAAAACATTGGCATGATATTTGTACTGTTTATTGACCTTAGATATGTAAATTTAGTTGTTTGTCTTGGTGTGGTCGTTGAGATACCACATTCTCATTCATATATTACATGTTACTAAAAAAAGCATTGGTGCATTTCTTTACTTTGGTCGAAAAGCAATTCAAGTCGTCAGTTTTTATGTTTTTAGTCCATGGCTTCACAAAAATCACTCAAAAATATAACATCATATTTTAGTTAACGGTCAAAAGATCATGAAAGCATCACGTACATATTGTCAGGGCTTTACTAAGACGTTGTAACAAACGTCATGATAACATCCTCTTCTCTGATGATGGGTTCGTGATTTTATGCTCTTTTTAGTGATCAAACAAAGTTATAAACAGTCTTAACTATTAGAACGGGGCCTAATAATACAAGTTTACAAGGACTCTAACTGGGTTGATTCCATTCCTACACCCCTTCAAATGACCCGACTAAGACATGTTTAGGAACAAGAACTACTTCAAATGAATCTTAGTTGTGAAATTGTAACAGAGCCTCTATTTTATTAATTGGGCCTGAATATGAAGATAGGCCCATTATAATCATCACTAACTCGAAATTAATTTGGTCGTGTGCATCAGCTTCAGCTAGTCTACCTGAATCCGTGCGTCGGCTCAGGCGACAATGCAAGGAGGATCGTCGGGAATTGGATACGGTTTGAAGTATCAGGTGATTCATCATCTTCTTCCTCTTCGGATCTTCGTTGAAACTTTATTAGAAGATTCTTTAAAGAAGAAATGTATTTTGTTTATCAGGCTAGATGTATATCGGATGTGAAAGCCGATACGGACTACACCAGCTTTCTAACAGGAACTCTAAGTCTGAAAGAAGAAAATGAGGTGAACCCATGTTTTGATTGTATGTCTCGTCTTCTATTGAATCTGGAAGATACTTAAAGTTTTGTCCTTTTTTTGTTTCCACCATTTTGAGATACTTTAAAGGTTCATCTTCTTCGTCTGTCATCTGGTGGATCTGAGCTGATATGTGAGGGATTGTTCTCTCATCCTAATGAGATATGGGACCTTGCTTCCTGCCCTTTCGATCAACGCATTTTCTCTACTGTCTTCTCCACTGGTAAATTCGCTCATACTTGAGTAGAATCATAAGTTTTGTATTGGCTGGAAGCTTGAATGTGTCAAAATCTCATAGTGCTTTTTATCTGTTAAGGTGAATCATTTGGAGCAGCGATATGGCAAATTCCTGAGTTATATGGTCAATTGAGTTCCCCACAATTGGAGCGTGTTGCATCTCTTGATGCTCATGTTGGTAAGATTAATTGGTGAGTTGATGATTTATCTTTTCAGCTCTTTATTGCTAGAGTGATGCATAAGTTTAAGACTTATTTCCTCATCTTATGGAAGCTGACTCTCTGTCTTTCTTGTGGAAACAGTGTTCTTTGGTGGCCTTCTGGAAGATGTGACAAGTTAATCAGCATGGCTGAACAAAATATTTTCTTGTGGAACTTAGACTGTTCAAAAAAGTCTGCTGAGGTGATTTTTCTATAAAAATATAGAGGCGAACTCGTTCTTTTTGGTGGTTTAGCCTCCAGGGTATTCAGATCTTTTGTAAGTTTTTTTCGTAAACAGGTTTTGGTTTATATAGGTTTTATCTAAGGATTCAGCTGGGATGTTGCATTCTTTATCTGGTGGAGCATGGAATCCACATGATGTAAATGCTGTTGCAGCATCTGGTGAATCATCTGTCCAATTCTGGGACCTGCGTACTATGAAGTATGGTATCACTGTTGATCTCCTCTATTCCTGCATGCACTTAGGAGATTTTACGCATCGATATTACTCACCCACGTTTGACATTATTACATGCTCTCATGGGGTTTCTATGTCAACTTAGTGATATACTCTAATACTGTTAGTTGCTTTTGGTTTTACCCTTTCATATCAACTCATGTATATCTGCTGACTTTCTTTATGTTGTTTGTCCAACGAAGGAAGGTTAACTCAATTGAACATGCTCATGTACGCGGTCTTGATTACAATCCCAAGAGAGAACATATACTTGTAAGACTTTTCTCTTGTACCTCCAAAAGCACCGCATAATAATACTCTATTGAGTGGAAATCATTTGTAGAAATATATGATGTGCATATTTGTCTAGGCTGTTCTTTACATCGTTAGGACATAGGAGCAGAACTTAATCATTGGGGAACTCAACCTTTGGACTTAGTATAAAATTATTATCATATCTTTGCTGTGATGGATTAAACATTCAGTTGTGTATTATAGATAACTGCAGAGGATGAATCTGGCATACATGTCTGGGATCTCCGGAAGGCGAAGGTTCCTGTCCAAGAGCTTCCTGGTCATACACACTGGTATGTTTGCTTTCGTTTCTTCGCGAACTTTTGTTTTTTTATAGTAGCCAAGATCCTTGAATTTGAGCCTTTGTGTGTTTCTGTCATATTTTGAAGGACATGGGCTGTCAAGTGTAATCCTGAGTATGATGGACTGATTCTGGTACTCTACTCTCTTTCTCCCTTGCTTTTCTTAACACAATCAAATCGTTCCAGTTAGTAGTTATCTATGCCACTCCCTGTTTTTTTAGTTGAAATGTGCAGTTTAATATTTGGCACATGCTTTGTTTTACTTTACAAAACAAAGCCTATTCTTTAACTTTGCTCACTATATAAATTATGTCAACTCTGTTCCCTTCAATTGAAACACAGAGCGCTGGTACAGACTCGGCTGTCAACCTGTGGTATGCTTCAGCATCATCCAGTGATGACAAACTCTCAGAAAGGTTGTGTCAAATCTCATGATCTCCTCGCACCCATGATTTTCATTTTTTTTTTCCAACATTGTTTTGATTCTATTGTTATAATCATTCTCAGCCCTGTGGAATCCATACGTCAGCGTGTGAACCCGTTGCTCAACTCATACACTGACTATGAAGACAGTGTCTATGGTAAAATTTCTTACTCCCTATGATTACCATTAATCTGGTGAGCCAAACAATACTTAATTCTGTTCCATTGTCAACACAGGCCTTGCTTGGAGTTCACGTGAGCCATGGGTTTTTGCATCATTGTCATATGACGGAAGAGTAAGTAAACATTCTCTACCCCATATAATCACATGATCAACCTGAGCTTTATATAAAGAACTTTGGGAATTCATCTGATTAATGTCTGTTGCTTGTATAGGTCGTCATCGAATCCGTGAAGCCTTTCCTTCCGAGAATATAGTAAAAAGCTCAGCAGCATCTCTTTTGCTTTGACCTACACGACCCATCGAATTCCTTGTTGGAAAAGAAGTTGTCACTATTGTATTTAAAATAATGTACTTTTGACACAATCTTTGTGGATCTTTGATGTATCTATCTATCTATCATTAGTCGGTACCAAGATATATAGTTTCTCTGATCTAAACACACTCAACGACTAATTCTTGTCGGAAAAAGTAAGAAAATGAAATGGAAAAAGGGATCATTCTTCCTCGGATTGGGTTTATATGTACAGAAGACACTGTTGAGGCATATGACCACAATAAAAAGTTGAAAAACCGATTTTATATCCTTCTATAACTGAATCAATCTGACACTATTTCTTCTAGCTCAGGCTCATCTGAAATTGATGATGCATCATCATAATCTAACCTCGTACCATTATATAGTCCTCTGTCCTGTAAATCAGTTTGGTCTTCCTCATAATCTGCATCTTCATCTTCGCTTTGTTCATCATTGCTTACTCCATCTTTTTTGTTTTTCTTCCCAAGTTTTCTCGAATCCATATTTCCCGCCTTTGCCTTAGCATCAGTATCTTCACATATACAAGTCGATGGGTTCTCATGAAACTCACCTCTACCAGCTCGTACTTCCTTTGGCTCTCCCATGAATCCTCTCTGAAATGTTCTGACTCTTGAAGTAAACTCCTCCCAAGTAGCATTCTCTTTGCTCATAAACAACTTGTATAGCTTTTTCGCATTTGGTCTAATTGTCGGTTTATGTCCAAAATATCTCCTACATAAAACCAAGAATCATTCAACACAAAAAAGCTAATGAAGTAGAAAGAAGAAAGATTAGCTTTGGTTAATTAACTACCTTCGACCAGCTAATATTCTTGCCATGTTTCCGTTATTGTTGGTAACGAAAACATCACTTTCATCACACACAACGAAATCCAGTGCAGCCATTCGTGAAGAATAAGAAGAAAATGGCTTTAGCTCCATTTTTGTTGCTATGGTGTCTTTTGAATAGAAATGTGGGAAAAGTTCTTTCAGAGGAGCTAATGATTTTTCTCCTCCATAAACTTCGCCTGATGCAACATATATGTGAACATCACTCCCATATCCCAAAGCTCTAAGCATCAATCCAACTTCTTCTGGTGTAAGCGGACATCTTCCTTGTCGCCTTTGCTTTTCCGGGTTATTTACCTGCGATGAGAAGTTCGTAATATTTAACTCATTAAATCCAACAAGAGAAAAAAAGAAGGCATGCACAATAAGAGTTGTATCCCTACATGTAAAGTTTTCCATCTCCTTCTGATTGTTCCCAACTCTTTCTTCTCCTGCTCACCACCGCCATAGTAACATCCCGAAAAGGCGAGCATATCAGGTTCAAATCTAAGATGTAAAGCAATGAAGTGTTTGCTCTTTTTCCGCATTCTTCGGACCAATTCGTTACCCATTTCAATAATTGGATCAGTGAACTTAAGCGCATGATAGTTTACTCTACACCGCAGCTTCTGCAAATCATCTCTCAACTTGTTTGAAAGTCTGTAATCAAATTTATTCAATTGAACTGCCTGAAACAAACCAAATCATATATAAGCATCATAAAGGAAGATGAAATCATGAAGCCTTAAGATGGTATAAAGCAAAAGGATTGAGAGAAAAGCATGAAACTTACATGCCTTTTCTGAAGAACAGGTAATACCCGATTGATATAACATCTCTCATTGCATTTTCTCGGTACACGCATTCTGCTAGGGCTCCAAGTTCGCCCTCCTTTTTGTGGAAGTTTCTCTATGATTTTGACATCTTTTGAGAGAAATGACACAAACCATTCAACATCGAAAATATGCGAGAAGTCACTGCATAAGAAAAACACAAAACTAAATGTTACGATGACGCTCAAAATTTTGACTTTTACCAAAGCAAAAGAAAATCTGAGCATGAACCTGGCATCTTTCCAGTAGGATTTCTGATCCAGCTTTGGAATAACAAGTGTAGCATTTAGAATTCGTGCAGCAACAACAGCATCTACAATCTGACAATCAGAACAATACATGGTGAAACTCAGAACAAAAACCTCTAGTAACAAAAATATTACCATAGAACCAGAGAAAGCTAAAGAAACTTACTCCAGTTCGCTGTTGGTTTAAACCACCACTTGTGGCGATTGCCAAGTATCGATCATTTCTAGTAATGGCTTTAGCATCTGCAGTAGGACAATCAAATGTAGTGTGACTAATAAACCTCCTGAAATTCAAAAATTACTATTGGCTGATTCTAGCTAGCTAACTATATCTCCAATTGCAGAACATTCAAGCATTCTAAACTGAACTCTCTCTAAATTTTATATCTCACTACACCAAAACAACTAAAAAGTAAAAAACTTTACGCACTTGGGAACTTGCTGCTTGCATTACAGCAACCATAAAAGAATTCAGCATTCCAAGAACGCCATATATCACGATCCGATCTCCCTCCACTTCTCTGTTTCCGTTAAAAACAAAGACAAACCCAAAAGAGCCAATAAGGGGAGATGCAACAAAAATCCACACTTTCCCACAAAATCAACATTACAAAAACCATTTTGAGTATATAAATCATATGCCAATCAAAACAATATCAAACTTAAGAACCCTAACCGGAACGGTGAAATCTACTGGTATGCTCTTCTCATCATCGGCTCCAGAGATAATCCGCTTCTGCCAATCAAAACAGAAACAATGGCGTTAAGAAGAGATCAGAAATCCCAAAAAACAATCTCTAAAAGTCCAGAGAGAGAGTGTGTACGGTGATGCGGCGATCGGAATCATCAGGAGGAGGTGAAAAAATGGAGAGAAGAGCGAAGAGGATGAGGAGAGCTCCAGAGACAGCGCAAATTAGAGGGAGGAGACGACGGACACGGTTGTAGTAATTGTAGCGCCGCCGTTGGAAAGCCATTGAAGGCTACACGCGGCGCTTTTACCTTCGCCTCTACGCCAGAGAGAGAGAGAGAAGAGAGAGAGAGAGATTGAGAACAAAACTCGGCTTCAATGGAGACCAAAACACAAAAGTCTTGGTCTTTTAAAAACAGCGAATTTGTGATTCCCTCTGGTTTTCACGACATCTCCATCACCATTACAATCATTACAGATTCTCTCTCTCGCTTCAACCAAAGATTGGATTTTTATATTATCAGAAAGAGAGAGGGAGAGAAAGGTTGAATTTTTATATATATATTATTATTGAGAAATGTAGTATTTTTTTTTGTTTTTGTGTTGGGACAGTTCTTATAGATTTCTGGGCTCTGAAAGAAATGAGGCACCGCCTCCAGCACTTCGTTCTAACAGCTTTATTTTTTTATTTTATTTTAATTATTATTTGAATTAATTAATGACTTTAATTTGGTTTTAAATGATTTAATACTTAATTAATCACTGTGAGCTGGATTTGATAGTCTTGCAAATGCAAGTTATTCTGTTTTTGCTGATCTATTTCGTTTTGATTCCTGTGTTTGCTTATACATACTTATCAGGACATTATTGTTTACTAATATTAATAATTGAATTTCTCAAAAATAAATTAAGAGATAAGATTAGCATTTTGTAAACTCTTTAACCATATTTTTCGGTGACAGTAGAGCCAATTGCAAGCTTTTTTTTTGTTTTTGTTAAATCACTTTAGAAACTTTAGAACCATTACTGTCTCAATTTCCATAATGGTGTAAATATTACTCTTTGCTTTAACATTTGTATCGTCCTTTACGATTATCTTCTTTATTAGAAATAAAAGAGAATATTTGAAATTTTACTATTTCGGTTGTTTAACTTTTGGCCAAAGAGTGTAAGTGAACAAATAGCGTGAACTGCCAAGGAAAGTATACTCTTTTTTGTCATTTGTCTTTTTACACTGTTTCAGTTTGCTTTTGGTCTTGTCTCAATCGCTCAACATAAATATGGTGTGATCCGGTTTTGAGGCAATGTTTGATTCCTACTCCAAAACCAAAATCGGAAAACAATCAACGGTTTTTAAGATCATCTAAACCGAGTAGGGTCGTCCGGTCTAGTTAATTGAGCAATCGTTGTGTAAAAGAGATAGATAACTCACACGCAAATTGCATAGATTATTAAGTTTTCAATCGTTTGTTTATCTTTACGCGTTCATGGAATTATTACAATTGATATGATTCTTTCTTGACACACCTTACAAGTTTCAGTTTGATTTCACCATGTGAAAATTTGTATGGTAGTAAGTTCACTCATTTCGTTGCAATGTTAACATCTATACTTTTCTTGAATACTATATACATCGTAATCGATTACACAAAGATTCATCACGATCATTAAAATTTCATTACTGTTAGGTACCAAGATTTGTTTAGTTATATAAATATATTATCTCTTTTGCTTACATACACTTGTTATGTGAGTTGTATATCGTACAATGTCATGAACACGACTTCCTAAGAACTACAGTCATACTTTATCTAGTTTTCTTACAGAAAAATCGGAATTTAATAAACAAATTGTACTAAAGAACAACAAAAATAGTTAACTAAGAGACAGTGATCCAAGGATTGATTCCCTTTATGGATATTTATATATATCCACTTGCCATCAGATTCAACTCTCTAAGTCAGACTCAGAGATCAGAATGCTAGAGATCTAAAAATTTCCGGAATTTCAATTTCATCCCGGTTATATTTATTTTAGAATACAACTTGTTTTAAGTTTTTCATTCACACAACATCATCTCATAGACAGTAGTAAATTATAACACATTTTCAAGGAGAGAGGGAGTAACAGAAAAGCTCTTACCAATTCATAACTTGCTTTTGCCTTTCTTTGATAAGCTTCCCAAAGCCTTAGCCTTAGCCCTGAGAACAAACTTCTGAACTTTTCCAGTCGATGTTTTAGGAAGATCCTCAAACACAATACTCCTCGGTGCCATGTAATGCGGAAGCCTGTCTCTGCAATAATTTATAAGCTCCTCCGCGCTGGCCTTAGACCCATCTTTGAGCTTCACAAATGCACAAGCAGTCTCACCCCAATACTCATCAGGCCTCGCAACTACAGCTGCTTCAAGAACACTAGGATGGGTGAACAGGGTAGACTCAACTTCAATGGAGCTAATGTTTTCTCCTCCAGAGATAATAATGTCTTTAGATCGGTCTTTGAGCTCTATGTATCCGTCCGGGTGCTTAACACCTAAGTCACCACTCCAAAACCAGCCTCCTTTAAAAGCTTCCTTGGTTGCTTCAGGGTTCTTTAAGTAACCATTCATCACTGTGTTTCCCCTGAAGACAACTTCACCCATAGTCACACCATCAGCCGGCAAAGTTCTCATGGTAACAGGATCTTTTACTTGTATTTCCTCGAGCCCCAAATGATTAACGCCTTGTCGGGCTTTCATTTTCGCCTGTTCTTCTCTAGGCAAAGAGGCCCACTCAGGTTTCCATGTACAGATAGTGCCTGGTCCATAAGTTTCAGTTAACCCATAGGAATGAAACATAGAAAACCCCAACTCTTCCATCTTGTAAATCACATGAGCTGGTGGTGGAGCAGCGCCGGTTACAAAAGATACCTTCCTGGGGAGCGGTTTCTGCTCGGATTCAGGAGCGTTGATGATCATATTCAAAATTGTTGGCGCACCTCCCATGTGAGTGACCTTGTGCTGGGAAATATTATCGAATATAGCCTTGGCGGTAACATTCCTCAAACATATATTAGTCCCACCAATAGCGGTAACACCCCACAATAAGCACCAGCCATTGCAATGAAACATGGGATTAGTCCATAGATAAGTAGGCGATGAGTGCATTTCGTTGAGTAGAACCGCAGCCAGAGAATTCAAATAAGCACCTCTGTGACTATAAACAACACCTTTGGGGCTTGAAGTGGTGCCTGATGTGTAATTGACGGATATAGGATCACACTCATCGGTTGGTCGTCTAACCTCGAAATCCGGTTTCCCCATGGATACAACATCTTCGTATTCCATCACATCTTCAGACCTCTTCTTCCCTGAAACAGGTTGAGGAAGAGGCTCTGGGATCAAGACTAGGAGCGGGACCTTGTCACCGTTCTTAGAGAGGATGTCACAAGCTCCCTGAGCTATTTGAAGAAACTGATGATCTGCAAAAATCACTTTAGTCCCAGAATGTCGGAGTAAGGCAGCTACAAGTGCGGAGTCATGACGAATGTTGAGTGTACAGAGCAAAGCTCCAACCATAGGAACAGCAAAATGCAAGTCAACCATAGCTGGAACGTTCGGGGCCAACACTGAAACCTGATAACTTTAAGAAATATAATCACAACTTGGAAAAGTTTCTTACGGATAAGAAATATTGAAATCCACAATCTCTATACGAAGTACGAACACAAAAGAAATCTCCAAAAAAAACTGCGAGACAAAAAAGGAAGGGAAGTGCTGACCACATCGCTGGTGGAGATCCCGAGCTGGGAGAGAGCAGAGGCGATTCTGACGCAGCGGTCACGAGTCTGGCGCCACGTGTACTTGACGGAGCCATAAACTACGGAGGTTCTGTCAGCATAGACGACGGCAGATCGATCGAGGAAACTGATCGGAGTGAGAGGAACGTAGTTGGCCGGAGACTTGATAGTTCCCTCCATTATCTTTGTTTTTTCCGCTGGAATAGTAGTACTATAGATAATTCTTTCCCTTTTCGAAAATCAAATCTAGCCTTATCGTATCCCTTATTATGTAATACTATAGCAGACATCTTTTTGGTTTTTGCTGGCTATCAGACTAGTACCACTAGTAACGTTGTGGTCTACAGCACATGTTCTTTTTGGTATAACATCAGAGTTAGGTAGAATGACGTCATCACTATTTTCTTGCAAACACCTTTTACATGTGTTTCATTTTCTACACGAGGCACATAAAATTTTACAAACTGAAAATATTTAGAGCTTAGTTGAGTTTACATAAATGCACACATTCTCACAGTATCTAGTTAAAAACAGTGGCTTTAAAAAAGTACCTATGAACTAGCAGCTCAAGAAAAGCCTTGAGACTTGAAGATCAACGATGCAGCATTTGTGATTTAGTTCCATGGACATCAGATCTGGCAGTTCAGCCCCTGGAAGATTTTGTCTCTGCTCCAGAAACAGTCATCAAGCTTCTAGTGTCAGACATGTAGTGATAATTGTAATTGATTCTGGTCACTAAATCAGCCAAGTGAGGGAAGTGTCCCACATTCAGCTTCGAAGACAATACCTGCATGTTCAATTTCCCATTCTCATTAAATTCAATTAAGGTTTCACAAGTGCTCAAGAGTTTTAGTTAAGTGGCCTTACCCTAAGGAGGAAAGCAATACAGTCCTCAAACTGTTTCTCAATCCTGTCTATTTCCATTTCACATCTAGCCTTCATCGCTGAAACTGCTCCGCCGCTGCTCAGAGTCTGTTGTATTGAGTAGAATTCTAGAGCTAAACCGAGAATCATGTTGATCCGACTTGCGATGATTGCCCACTATACCAAAACCACCAAACTCTTGGTTTTATAGCTACGAATTCAAACTTTTGTTATGCATTTAAGAATGGATCATTACCAGCTTTTCTTGTACCACAAAGCATTGCCTCTGAATCGATAACAAGTAGGTCTCATGTACATATATGACCTCATCTAGAGACCCTGCTTTTACCATAGATTCACACAGCTCACGCCATGCGGTGTGATATACCTGTTAACAAAATCCAGTTAAGCCTGACAAACTTTTCATTTTATTTAAGAAGTTCACACATAAACAGCAATTGCAACTAATTATTCAGCATCAAACAATACCCTGTCCATTACGTATTGATGGAAAGCATCCACAAAATTGAGGAGCTTTTGTTCCAGTAACCAGTGGTGCTTGCGGATTTTTGTTGCAGAGCCTTTACCCTATAATTCACACACACCAAGAGTCACTAACTTTATCAAAACTAAACCACATTTCTTTATATCCTTATTGATTAGGCTCTTTGAAACTAAATTCAAATGTCACATGAAACACTTTAAGAAGAAAGAAATGAGTTAAAGACCTTCCACATCCACCTTCGTGCTTTATCAAGCACATATTTTGCTCGCTTGACCTTCAACAAAAATCCCATCACCTGTTTCATTTAAATTATCAACACAGAACAGCAAAATATTTCCCCAAAAATAGCTGGATAATCAACAGAACAGCGAATATTTCCAAAAAATAGCTGGATAAGAAAGGGCTACCTGGTTATACTTCTTAATGGCCTCACTATTGGCAATAAGCTCAAGCGGCCATGGCACCTTAAAAAAGAAGATAGTTCAGACCTTTAAATACACATATGTGTAGCCCAAGTAATATGCCAAAACGCAGCATCTAGGTGGAAGACTAATATGTGTTTCTCTAGACCTTGTATGTGAATTTGAGAGATTCAAGACAATCTATCCCAAAGTTGTTAGCACGGCTTTTACGAGTTGAAGAAAGTGGTATTACGTCACCCTTGTCATCTTTGTCTCTGTCTAAACAATCTTCTCTGGAAATAGATACCACCAATGAATCAGGACTGCTTAACAACGTGGCATCAGCTGAATTTCTAATTGATTCCTGTAGATAATCATGACAATTTGGAATTAAGCATGTCTGTCTGTATGAACACAATATACGACAATAGAAAACAGGGATACAGAAGCAAACAATTAACAACCACAATCTTTTACAAGTGATAACTATAAAGATGCAAGCAGTGTTTCTAGAAAGAAGTTCAGGGAAAGTGGTTACCTGAAGGATTATGTTCAACTCAAAATCATCATTCGATGACTCTCCCTTGCCCAGCCTATCGAATATGACAGTCAGAAAATGCTGCAGAAGGTCCCCTGAATTTTTTAAAGGATTTATCAAGATTCCAGATGAAAACCTATTGCCAAAGAAGTTGAAGCACATAAAGCATACCTGAGCCTAACAAGTAAATGGCACGCAACACTGAAAGTTCGTGCATCAATTTCCAATCATTCATTAGTCTGGACAAGATCACTTTGCCAATGTAGTCCGTCTACAACACAAAAATTTCAGAAGGTAACAAAAGTATGAAGGCTGTAGCAAATAATGGCAATGCAAAGCTTACATCACAGTACCTGCCTCCTGACGTAGATTGCGAAGCATTCTTGCAATATTACAACAGGAAGTGGAGTATCCCTTGGCTCTTCCTTAAGCATCCAGCTGAGAACTTTTGAAGGAAGTGTACTATTCTTTTGAAAAGGTAAGAATTCTGACATATGGAGCTTTGGCTTTAATGTTTTTTTTTTGTTGATCACAAAGATGTTTAAAAAAGGTATCAGAAACTATTGCACATGGGAGAAAAGTAAGGAATGGATATAAATTATCGTAGAATCATAAGTATGAAGTACCTGGGATGACGGAAGCAAAGTGGGAAAGGGAAATAACGTTTCTAGAATTTTGGTGTCATCCTGAGAAGAAAGATACTCAGATATACCAAATTGAAATCCAAATTTGTAGTTTGTTCCGCTCAATCCAGCATCTGCCACGCCAGATCCCTCAAAAACAGCACTCAACAAACTCTCATCATTTAGAGAGGGTAGACAATAGTTTTGTGATAAGTTCAGGGCATTCCAAGCATTTTTATTCCTCTGAAGATCTAGTTTAGAGACTGAAACAACAACGTTTTCATGACAGAATAACCCTTGCAATGCCTTCTCGGCGGCGAGGCCATTTTTTCCGTTCCCAACACAATTAACATAACACGCACTTTGGTGTTCTAATTTGGTCTCCCTAGATTTTTTCTCTTGCACAGCACCAACCAACAACTTATACCACACTCGATCTGAGTAGGTGTGAACTGGAAGATCTTTATCACCCATGCCATTCACCAGCTCTCCACTTATATATGATGCTAAAGTTGGAGAAATCTCCCACTCATCCACCTCATCTTTCCAGAGATATCTAGATACATGATCGCCGTAGCCTGTAAGGCCAACAAGTGATAGACAAAAGATTTCAGACAAGGATAAGTCTGCAGTGCTTCTAAACTTTTCAGCGAGTATGGCACTGTCCAAATTCCGACCATGGTACCGAATCTTTCCAGAAACTTCCGGAGACGTGGAAGGAATATGCTGCATCAGCTGCAGTGACTTTCCAGCAGAAACAATCGACTTACAGATGTCTTTTATGAATAGTGGGCATAACACCCGATTATTCTGGTCCTTTTCTCTATCAGAAACTGAACTGGAGTCATTTACATTCATTCCTTTCTTTTGATTTAGCTTAGTTACATCTGAATTTGGACCCGGCACCCTCGTCAACAGATAACTTTTCTCCCAAAACTCTGCATCGTCAACAGAGACTGATTGGTTGGCTGTAAAGAACAACTGCGAAGAACAAAATTTAATCTTCACCTCAACCAAAGAGTTTATATACGCAAACTTTCAATTTGCTAGCATTGTAATGAAATACTTGATATGGAAGAGTAAACTGCTAGAAGAAAATCATGGAACATAAATACATTTCCGAGAACACCTACCTCTTCAAAAGGATCATCAAGAGTTCCTTCAAACAACCATGAATCCAACCCCTCTATATATGGCAATAAACTTCCAGCAAATATTTGCAGCAGCATGTGAAATCCTCCCACCTGGTCCAAATATTATCAATAAACCAATTATAAAATTGAGTAGCAAAAAAGAGAAACACACAAAAACTCAGGAAAGCCGTCACAACCTCACCACCTTGTACAAGGCATACTTCATCTAGCCTCTTGTAAAGGTAATCAAGAACGTGGACAGCAATTTCAGCTGTCGAAATAGTTGAACTTGACTCAAAGTACGCATGAGGGAGTGCACCTCGTACAACTTGTAAGAGATATTCAGCACCTGAACACAGACTAGCAAATCAAAGGAAAAAAAATGAATACTGATATATAATATAACTCTTAAACTGAGAAAGAGCATCCACTAAATAAAAGTATATAGGCAACACACCTAGATAAAGAGCTAGTTAATCCCAATAGGGTTGGAGTGACAGTAACATCAGAATTGTTGATCTTCACTTCTTCGTTCAAAGCAATATCTCTGAGTCTCTGTTCCAATACCACTTGTATAATATCAGTCTCCAGACAACAAATGTTCAAGAACATATTTATTTTTTTGTAAAGAAAAAAAAAACGACACTAGAAGGGAGTTAGGGATAACTTGCCTCAAGCCAAGAAGAGACAGAGGTAAAAAACGCCATTAAAGTAGGAGGAGATCTAAGAGAGGTATTAATTCCAGAAACAATAGACTCCACAAGCTTCAAACATGTTGCAGCATACAAAAATCCAGAGAGGAGAACATGAAGGCTTGACTGAGACAAATGAGAAACTCGTATCTCACTTTTAGGGAGGAATGTTTGTTCCTTTTGGTGCCATAAAATGAAGGGACTAGAGAAACCTTGCAAAGCTTGTAAGAGACCTCTCACCAGATCCAATTCATTCACGCTCACTGAGAGACGGGATACTTCTGAGCGTGTCCAAACTCTGCGACTGCACATCGTTCCCGGAATTGGGGTGTCTAAGCCAGCACGATCTACTGGAAGCAACGACTCCATAACTGCGTTCAGCTACTGTAAATTTTGATTTTCCATACCACAATTGACTCTAGGAGGGAAATCGAAGAAGCTTGCTATGAATGAATTTGGGAAAGAGAGAGAGAAAGAGACTGAGGGCGAGAGAAAAGGTCTCTAATGGGCCTATTATACTTCTCCACTTAGCCCACCAAAATATAGGCCCATCGTAGTTAATTATAATTACCAAAGTTGTTCGGTTTTATTTTTCTTACTTAAATTAATTGATTCAACCGACTAGCAATAAGAAATATATATACCAAAAACATGTCCCTTTTTTGAGACGAAGAGAATTCCGAGAGAGCTAACCCTAATTTTTCACGATGATGCAGAATCTGAGAAACGTCTTAACTCGCGGAGGGAGATCCATGGGGTCTCGCAATTTCTCTTGACCGCCTGGGTTGGGAGCCAGAGTTCGGATTGTAGTGAGAGAGCCTACTAGTACAGTAGCTAATGGTTATGTTGTATGTGCATTGCTTGGATATGCGTATTACATTGTCTCCGGAGGTATGGAGATAAAAAAAATCGCCAAAGCGGAGGAGGAATATCTCCAACTCCGGATAAAACGTCACAAGGAACTGGTAGACAAGGAGTGGCGTGATCTGGAGCTCATCGAGAAGCCATGACTAAAGTTTGTGTTTAGTTTATTGCGTGTGTTTTGACGTGGAAAAAATAAATCCATGGCTGTGTGTGATATTGCATTTTATATTTATGTGTGTTTGCATCTTCCCAGGATCCCTCCTCTCTTTTGAGATGAAATATTGCATTGTTTTTTTTCCATTTATATTTATGGAATTCGCACCTTGTGTCAAAAATATATATATATATATATATACCAGAGAAAATTGTTAAAATTTAACTAGAGATATTGTAGCCAATTGTTTCTACATTGCAAACTATTTTTGGTTGATTAAGGATTTTATCATATGAAAAAATGTCTCAAATCAGCAGCATTCCAAATGAACAACGTCTATAATATGAACTTTTGGGTCTCAAAAGATGCAGTTCTCTGAAGTCAAAAGCTAAACTGAAGTTTCTAGAAGACATGATCAGAGTTCAAGTATTAAGGGAATCTATGATGCAATCGAAGTATAGAAGTTATAAAGAGGGACTTGTGTCGTTGAGTTGCTTGGTGTTTCTTAAGTCGTGAGCAGGAGATAGACAAGGCCTTTTAGATATTCCACTATTTCAGATCCTCCGAGCTTCGAAGTTCCAAAGACTCTGTCAACAAATGTGATCGGTACCTGCAGATGAAGATGAGCACCAGAGAATCAGAATTATGAATGGTCTATATAGTTTAAAAGCAATCATAATCAAAAGTGAAAGAGAGACCTCTTCAATCTGGTATCCTTTTCTGGAAGCACGAACGATCATTTCCATCTGAAACACATACCCTTTACTCACACATGAGCTAATCACATCTTCAAGCACCTCTTTCTTGTATAGCCTTTCAAATACGGTCTAGCGGTCAGTCATAAAACAATCAAATGACATCAGTAAAAAAGATGCACATATGTTTAGTTGATTTTTACCGGAATGACCCAGTTAAATCAGATACACCAGGCCACAAAAATGTTTGAGCTAGCACATTTGCTCCTCTACTAGTGAGTTTCCGCATAAGATTCCACCCGTGTACACCACCACCTTTTACATATCGTGTACCAGTTACTATACTTGCATTTGTCTCTAGTTGTTTCCTTCGTGATTAAAAAAACAACCAGTCAGTTGAAGACAGTCACTATAGCTTGTGAAATCATTAAGAGATCAAGAGACTCTTCTTTTTCTTACTTGATGAAACTTGGCAAGTATTTTGGCTGCACAAGAGAAAAGTAGCTGGGTTAGCTCAACAACTAGACAAGTAAATAAGAAACCAAAATTGGTGGCTCTTACATGATGTGAAAGATCAGCATCCATGATTACAACGAAATCACCACTGGCATACTTCAAACCATGAATATATGCAGTTCCTGAGATTGATCATGCCAAGAATATTAATTCCACTTCTGGCTAAGCAAAAGTAGAAGACGATGAAGATACAAATTACATACCCAGACCAAGCTTCTTGGCTCTAGCTCTTAAAAGCTGCATCATAAAAAAAGACAAACACAGAGTTCACCTAAACAGAACAAGGCACAATAATCTAAAGGCTTAGGCCTTAACTCAGTCATTGTACTTACGATGCGGTCTTCACCATACAACTTCTGTAGTTGCATGACAATTTCTTGTGTGCCATCAGGACTCCCGTCATCCACAACAACTATCTCGAAATCAACATCCCTATATCATATAAACAAGTGGCCAAGCAAATTCTCAGTAACTTATGACAACTAAAATAATGCAATCCTATTAACTTCTTATAAGCAACCACAACCAGAATTGATCTGAGATTAGCACAATTATCATTCTCCGGTCACTAAACCAAAATTTTCAAAAAGATGACATGAAATCTCTCCTATATAGTTCGAGGGATCACTACATTGGCCTTTACTAGCTCATGCGCACAAACAACAATCACGAATTCGGATCTGCACGCTACAGTTTAAAAAACATTATTATGGGATCCATAAATTCTGATCTAGGAGAAAAAAAAAACCCAGATATACTCACTGACGATCAGATTTGAATTTAAGCATTCAGTCAAATAGGATTCAGAGTTCGAACAGAATAAAAAAGAAAAGAGAAAAGTATGAAAAAACAACAACACCAGACAATTCTTCGCAAACCCGATTTTGAAATTAAAGAAGAAACGTGAAAAGATCAAATGGAAATCAAATATTACCGGAGATGCTTGAAAATCAGGTAAACTATGATAGCTATGTTGAGGCGCTCGTTGTAGGTGGGAATGATTATGCTATACTTATACTTCTTCTCTCCGTTGTTCTCCTTTTCGTCCGCCATATTTCCCGGCGAGTTTTGCAGCCGTGCCTCCTTCGTCTTTTTTAACCCGTGAAATCAGTCGTCGTCGTCTGTACAAAAATACGGATTAAAAATACAGTTAATATCAAAATATAGGGACTAGAAAGCAAGTTTCTCATATTGGGCCTAATATAATAAACGGGCCTAATTTAAAGCCCGCAATTAAACTAGAAAAGCTTTAAAACAGGTAAAATCGTCCTTACCATCTGAATCGTTCTCTCTTTCCTTCCGCCATTTTTATTTTCTAGGTTGCAGAGTTAAGGGGAAGGTTTTTAATTAGGGTTTTGCCGAGAGAGAGAGATGAGCCGAAGTTTGGGAATACCGGTGAAGCTTCTTCACGAGGCCTCGGGTCATATCGTGACGGTGGAGCTAAAGAGCGGTGAGCTCTACAGAGGAAGTATGATTGAGTGTGAGGATAACTGGAACTGCCAGCTCGAGGATATTACTTATACCGCCAAGGTAATCAACTGTTACTTAGATTATCTCGATTCATTTTATTTTGAGATTTTTTATTTGAATTATAGGTTTCGTTTCAATATTGTTGTTGATTTTGGTGCTGTGAAAACCCAGATTTGGTGAGCTGGGCAAAGTAGCTTGGAAATTTTAGATTGCTTCTTATTTAGATTTGGAAGTAGGATTAAGTATCCTTAAAGTTCTTGTTCTATAAAACCCTAGAATTGGTAATCCTGCTAGTGGCATTGTTAATTTTGACTCTTAAGGTATAGTACTCCTCATTGGTCAAGCGTATGATTGATCTATGAGGACATACGTTTCTCCTTATAAAGTTTTATACAAAGACTAAGTTGCTCTTTAAAAAAACAGTGGTCAGGTAATTAGATAATGTGAATTTTCTGAAGTTTGCAAGTTTCAAAGCTTCCTCTTCTTGTTGATTGTCACTTGACTTTTGTTTTGGGTTTTCCAACGTTGTATTACAGGATGGTAAGGTATCTCAGCTTGAGCATGTCTTTATTCGAGGCAGCAAAGTCAGGTGCTGTAAACACTTCTCTAGACCTGTGCTCATTTCCTGTTTTACATGGTATCATTCTTAGTAATTGACATATGGAGAGATCTTGACAGGTTTATGGTCATACCAGACATTCTTAAGCATGCTCCAATGTTCAAGCGTTTAGATGCTAGAATCAAGGTATTTACTTCCTGAACCCTAGACGCAGAATGATAGTAGAGTCTTTATTTAGATCCGCATTAAACTTAGTAGCTTACTTGCTTAATCAACGTAGGGAAAGAGCTCATCACTGGGTGTTGGCAGAGGTAGAGCTGCAATGAGAGGAAAAGTAAGTTCACTCTCTCTCATGATTTAGTGTTCTTGAACTCAATGTTAGGAAGTTTCTTGGAAGATTTTCAGCATATTGAAATATCCCGTTATCCCTTAATGCTTGTTTCTTTCTTGTTACCACTAATTAATTGATTCTTGAATCTTTTGTGATGTTATCTTAAAGCCGGCTGCTGGGCGCGGAACTGGAGGAAGGGGAGCGGTACCACCTGTTAGGAGATGATTGAATTTATGTCCAACATGTAAGCTTTGATTCTGAGACAGTCTTTCTGCAATATCCAGGTGAAAGCCGCGATTCTTGGTTCTGTCATTTATGCTTTAAGGGTACACTGTAAAACCAAACAAGAGAGAACGAGAGATATGTCCAGATGCACCAGTCGTTCTGTATTTTTGGGTACCAAGTATGTTTGAACCAGTTGACAAGTTTTCATTGTGATCTCGTTTAGATTTGCGCATTCTCCATTTCTGGTAGTAGTGAATAAAGCAAAGCACACTGTTTTTAAAAATGGTCTTAATAAGACAAAGCTCGGCTAAATTGAAAGAACAAGATAATGAACACTAGCAGTAGAGACCATAGATTCACCAAGCAAGCAAGAATATAATTTATCCAATAGCTGTCTAACAATTTGGATGATTATTTGGGAAAATACAAGTATCTTTACCAAAGAGAAAACAATATTGAATTAACGTCTGCTGACAATTTTTGCCAATTTTCCCCAGCAAAACCATTCAAGGGTTCGTTATACAACACATTCTAAAGAAACTGCACATTAAAAGAAAAAAGTTTGTTTAAATGCTTAAAACGTAGTGGTTTTCTTACATTATTGTAATGGTGTTCTTGGTGTTCTTTGTTTAGATGTAAACCTTTTTTTTTTTTTTTTTTTGTCATCAATGATGTGTAGCAATGTGGGTCATAAAGTTATGCGTGAGTTCTGTGTAACAAAGTGGGTCATATAATATCCCGGAGCAATTTTTACAACAAATACATGTAGTGAACCGATGATTGCTTCACAAGTTGAATATAGAAAGTTGAACATGATATCCTAAAGATTTGATTGCATCTTTTATTTCTCTCTTAAGTGAAGAAAGATCAAACGTTGTACATCTCCCATTTGGGCAACTTAAATTGCTCTATCTCTCTTTTCTTCCCCCTCTTACTCTTTCAGTTTTGAAAAGAAAACTCGAGTCAAGTCATATTATATTCTTATTATAGTTTTTTACTCCATCAAAGCAGAAACCCAGCTGGTTCAGTTCTTGCAGCATGACAGAACTTAGATGTGTTGTACTTCCTGTGAACTCCTGTTAGCTTCCCTGTTCCTGCCTTGTGATGAAAAGCAACCATCTTTCTTGCACATGCCCTGAGATAAGAAAACCAAAACCCAATTTTCAGAATTCAGATGATCTCATATGGAGTTTTTAAAGAGATGATGAAAACCATGGATGTTCTGAATCTTACTGTAGCTGTTCTTCTGTGTAACCTGTGTGAAACTCACAGGTTTTGCTCCATTCTTCATATCCCTTAAGTGTACACTGAGCAGTGTAGATTGCTGAGGCCGCTAGCTTAGATGGAAGATACTCCAGCATCTCATACTCCACAAGGCAAAGCTCGATCATAAAGAAAGATAAAACCTCAAGCTGAAACCAAAATTGCATACCACACAGGTTTAGATATAAGGCCTGATGGTATCCGAACATAAAGATTCAAGCCTTTTAATTATGGATATATAAACCTTTTTGTCAGATTGGGCAGCTTTGAGAAATCGTTTCATGAAAACATATGGAGTTGGTAGAGAGAAATTGAATTGCAAGGTGTTGGCCATTAGCTTCTCCTGCAATAGAAACCAAAACAGATTAATTAAAACAGTGAAGCATCATCCTATGGTAATTAATGATCAAGAGAAAGTTGTATTCACCATATCTAGCACTTCTCTTCTAGTGTAAGCTTTGTCAGAGATCAGGATGAGATCATCCACTACCGGAACTGACACTTCTTCGTATTTACAAGCAAGCAACAACGCAGTAACTCCAACTAGCTGAAGCTTTTTCCTCACGATCTGATGAACTGCAAGGAATCTGTCGATGACATTGATTGTGAGATAAAGAGTTTCCTCCATCAGCTCAAACTTGTAGTGCACCTGCTCAAAATAATTTTCCATTTTAATTTTCTCTTCAGGCACATTGAAACAACAACAATGACATTAGAATAGCTTTTGTCTGGATCTCTCTACCTCAATCAACCAGTCAATGAGGATTCCTCTCATTCTCTCATTAAGATCTTGTTGATTGTCCATATAGTTAGGAGCTACGCAACTAAGTGTCTGCAGAATCATTAAGAATTAATCAAACATAAGTACAAGTCCTTGAAACTAGAAACGCATTAATGATGAAGAACAGAAAAGCAAAAATTTGCGTTGAACAACACCAAGTTACCTCAGATTTCCTGTAGAAAGTATGCATATCATTGACATATTCAACCACGGCTAAAGGATTCTTCTCATCACAGGCGTCAATATCGATCACACGCTCTTCTTCTTTTTCTGCATCTTCCATTTCAATCTCCTCCTCCTTTCGAAAGACACAAGCAAAATGAGTACCTCTATTGACACTTCCGTAAACAAAAGAAAACAAAAAAAAAAAAGATTGAGGAAATATGTATACCATCTGGTCAATCTCCTCCAGCATTGCTTCAGTGTGTTGTACAAACATTGGTTCATTAAAGTCACCACCTTCTTCCTTATCACAATCATCCACATCAATGACAATCCTCTCTGGTTCTTCATTTGAAACCGAGTCTGGTTTCTTAGTTTCCTAAGAGTTAAAAATGAGAAATTAAAATCCAGTCTATGTCATCATTGTTCTAAATGAAACAGACATTGAAAAGGGTCACTAAAGGGTACCTTTTCATGGATTTGTGGCTTATGATCTGCTAACTGAGCAGCAAACTTCCTGAACAAACAGAGTAGTAAAAGCTTGTCAATTGACTCATTAATCAGACAATGAGGGATACTACAAGTAGACAAGAGTAAAGATTTATACTTTACCTAGTCACCGGTCGATGCACAGGTGGTTTATTACAGATGCCATCCCTCCTGCAATACCAGAGAAAGAAATTGGGTCCAATTAAAAGGAGAAAAAAACTAATCTTGAATCTGAGAGGATTGATTGAAGTGAACTTACTCAGAGAGTGATCTCTTGTTAACAGCATAAGGGTAAGACGGCGCTTCGATGATGTTCTTGTTAATAGTACTTAGTGCTCTTCTGGTCGGTCCTGTTGTCCCCGTCGTCTTGATCTTGCCTCCTCCTCCGCCTGCACCAAGTCAAATTGGGGGAAAATTAAAGACAATCGAAAGACAAAGTTTGGATTTTTATGACAAAATCGTTGGATAAAGGATACCTTGGAGATTCATTGATCCGATTAATCCAAGGCTATTCTCATCTGATCTACCCATTTTCTTCTTCGTTATCTGCGGAGGTTATTTATTTCATTAATAAATCTCTCTGGGAAAATCAAATTTCAAAATCGAAACATCCCCCAACTTAAAAGCAGGACTTTTTTTCAAAATCAAAAATTAAAATAAAAAAAACGAGTCTTGACAATCAAAACCCTACAGATCCGGTTTATTATAATCTCAATAAAGACCCAATCAATCAAGAACAAAGACCTAATAATCCCAAATACCCAGATAAGAAAAAAAGCCACAGTTTTTTTTATATTTTTCAAAAAAAAAGGTCACCTTTTTCACACTCAATTCAAAGAACCACCGCAAAATCTCTAGTCAACCCCTGATTCACAAATTCTTCACAAATCCAGTGAAATCTCCTAACCCTAACAGTTCTTGTCCCGTTGGATTTAAACAAAGGAGAGAAAGAGAGATCTTTTAGCAAAACCCAAGGATTCAACCACGCTCTCTTTCTCTCTAATGGCTTCGATTTTGAAGATCCCCTCTCACTCTCTCTCTCTCTCTCTCGTTCTTCTCTCTCTTCTATATAAGGGCAAAGAAAAGAAAAGAAAAAAGAAAGGGCTCAAGAGAAATAGAGATTTGAAGACGAGAGAGCCATATTTTATTTTTAACGGCTAGTTCATCTTGTCCGTTTATCAAGCCACGTGTATAAATCAAAAGCATCTCTACTCAACGGCAGTGTTTTCCTCCATGTGTGTGTGCACTCTCATTCAAAAATTATTTGGTTTTTCTAATTTGGGGAAGACAACTAAAATTTTGTAAAAAATTATACATTTCTATAAACACAAATATAAATACCTTAATTTGATATATTTAAAAGAATGAAAATTTGTCTCCTTTGACCACAAAAGACAAAGACTCGTTTTATATTTAAAAATCAAGATGAATAATACTATTCTTTTTTTGAGCACAAACACTCACACACACAAAGTTCAGATCAGTGTATCATACTAATTATTTTATGGAAATAAGATATATACAAATGTATACATAATAACGGTACTGCATCTTTGGCTACTCACATTTAAATTAATAAGCCATTTTTGTACAAGTATAATAACACCTTGTTTATATTTTGACATTGAAGTAACATGTTGTGCTTTTAGTCTCAGCCTTTTGGGTTTGAAATTGTGCTAGTTTCTTCTATTTCCTTTTTTAGCTGGCATTTGTAAAAACATGTATAATTTATTCTTCTAGCCAGGTTGCTTGCTCCATGTATGTATATGATCATAGTTTCTGAACTTCCTTGTTATCTTGCAGTTTCTATTGTTCTAATCTTGTTCTTGCTGCTTCTCTTTTTGTATAGCTTTCGACTTATTGCATGTAGACTGCTGATACATGACTCTACCAAAGATAGAGATTAAGAGTCCCAAAGTTCCAATGAAGTTTGAATGGTTGTCCCATATAACCAAGTTGATTGCAACTGTCAACAGTTTGTTCACAATGCCAAGAACCGTAAGACTTGGTTACAGAAATCTTTAAGCGACACAAAAACCGAAGAAATAGATATGTAGACCAAATAAACAAGAAAAATCCAGTGGCAAAAACCACTGATCAAACTGTACCGATCAGGCTTATCACTTATGTCATGCCTTAAAACCACTGGTTCAAGAAAAGTGTTTCTCGAACAGATTGAAGTAAGGAGATGATTGCTGCAGGAAGCAACCTCTACAAGGTTAAGAGATTGAGAGGATCAAGCTCGATAAGCTTCTAAGTGGCCACAGAGTTTAGACACCAAATGGCACTAGTAAAGTATTGCAGAGCGGTTAATGCACCAGGGTAAGGGAACTTGATGATTGCCCATTTGTTGATGATTGAGAGAAGAGAAGTTGAGATGCAATAACATGTAGCTACTACACCATACACAAATACTTGATGAATCAAATCAATGTACCAAGGCTTCAATCCAATGTCTTTCTATATACCATTTGGCCCAAAACTTACCATCAGACTAGAGCCCATTATATGTATTAGGCTTGTGGGGGTTGGACTCG